CTGGCCAGGGATGATGGGGTTGGTAGTGCAGCCAGATAGGGGATTTCCCCACCCTAGAGACCCCTCCCCTCCTGCAATTAGTCATTCAACCGTGTGAAGCTGGCCTCCACGCTCTGCCCCCCCCCGCCGAGACCCTATTCCTCTGGCCAGGGATGATGGAGTTGGTAGTGCAGCCAGATAGGGGAGATTCCCCATTCCAAAGACCCCTCCCCTCCTTGAACTGGTCATTCAACCGGTGAAGCTCGGCTATAGATGAGGGCCCCCACGCTCTGCCCCACGCCCACTCCTACCCGACCCTATTCCTCTGGCCAGGGATGATGGAGTTGGTAGTGCAGCCAGATAGGGGAGATTTCCCCACCCTAGAGACCCCTCCCCTCCTCCAACTAGTCATTCAACCGGTGAAGCTGCCTTTTCTCTCCCTCGCCCTTCAAGAGCCCCGAAAAGTTCTCCCGGGGACCTGAAAACCTTACCTGTGGCATGCCCGCCTTCCTTTACCTGGCTGATTCCCTTCTCGGCCTCTGCGGGCGCGGCTGGGCCAGGAGCAATCCCCCAGGTGAAGCCTGGAGACCTGGGCAAGGTCGGGCTTTTACCCGACGAACTCCTGCCCGGCACTGGAGCTGCGGAGGAAGCCCATTTCCCAACGGGACGGGCTGCAAATATTACTAATATTTCCTACTAATATTGCTAATAAGGCGGACCCGGGGAAGGCGGAGGGTCCCGCGGGGGAAAGCGGCGGGGCAGAAGCCTCCGAGGCTCCCCCTCCGGTCTGCCAGGCAGCCATGGCACCGGGGCAGCCTCTTCCCCCCAACCCACCCCGGGCTCCCTCCGACAGCGCTCGATTAGCCGAGGCTGCAGCAACCGCCCAGCTGCGTTACACAACCCGGCGCCTCTGGATCGGGGCCAGCCGCCCCCCCCTCTTCCCCTGGCCGCCCCCTCCCTCCCTTCCCTTCCCTCCCTCCGCCCGCCACGCACGTGGGCTCCCGCGTGCAAAAAGCCCTTGCACGCCCAGCTGGAGAGAGGAGGAAGGCACTGAGCGCGCGCGTGTAAAATCAAGAGCTTAGTAGAGGGTGTGCAAAAAACTCCGCTCGGGTCCCTTGCACGCCCAGCCGGAGAGGAAGGAGGAAGGAAGGACGGTGCGCGTGCAAAAAAGAAAAAAAAAAGAGATGCGTGTGAAAGAGATAAAGAGCGTGCAAAAGAAAAATCTCCCGAGTCCGTTGCACGGACCGAGACCCGGAGAAGCAGTGATTTTTGTGCGCGCGTGTAAAACAAATGATGGAGAGGTGAAGAGTGTGCAAAGAAGAAGGAAAAAAAATAAGATTCCGCTGGTGTGCAATTGCACGCCGGCCTGGCAGGACAGAAGGCGTGACACACGCATGTGGTGTGTGCTTGCAAAAATGTCCCTGGGGTCTTTGCCACGCCTGAGAGAAGGCCTGAAGTGTGTACCTGTGTGCTAAAAGGGACAGACGTGCAAAAACTCCACTCAGCTCCCTTGCAGGCCGAAGCTCGAAAGAAGGCGTGACACACGTATGTGTGTTTGTGTGTGTACAAAAAAGACAAAACATTGTCTTCGAAGTGAGCTCCCTCCCTGGCGAGCTCCCTGCGCAGGGGCAGTCTACCAGACTCTGAAAGAAGACTGCCGAAGTGCAGAACTGAGACTGAAAGAAGACTGCCGAAAGTGCAGAACTGGTCCTCAAAACGAAAGGCAGGGGATGATGGGCGCTGCTTCCCAGCCCTTCCAAAGGGCGCCAGTTCGACCCTGCCCCGGAAGGAGGGGCGACATCCCTACCGGCGTCCCCTCCCCCACCCCTTCGGCTGGGCACACCCTCAGTCAGTCCCCAGGGATAATTACTGTTTACGTGCTCGGCTGCTGGGGCACATGGGTCCTCGCCCGGGGCTGCCACACACCGGGCGGTTCAGGCAGCGAGACAGGCTCGGAGGGGTGGTGGTGTGTGGGGTGGCATCTCACCTGTGCCAGATGCCAACCGCCTTCCTGAAATGCCAACCTGGGGAACCTCCCCGGCCCGCAGGGGCTGCTGGGCCTATTAATCGCCGCTTTGCTAGAAGGCAGCAATTTCACAGGTGCAGCAAAAGATATTACAGCATTCTCGGGTTTTTTTTTTTTTTTGGAAACCCGCCCTTCTTCCTTCACCCACGTCCACCTTGGGTTTCAACTCCCAGGATTGCCAGCCGGCAGGTTTCTTCCCCCGGGTGGAAAAAAAAACTAGAAAATGAAAATCCCAGTTCCGAATTTATGGAAAGGGGGCAAAGAGGAGAAGCCAAAGAGGAGCCAAAAAAACCCACCACCACACTCCTTTAGCTGGGTTTCGTTCGACCTCTTCATCCAGGGAAGGAAGATTTGCTTACAAAACAAGACGTGTTATTTCCCCAACCCATCTAGTCAAAAGCCAGGACAGAAATCAGAAGAATTAAAAAAAAAAAAAAAAAAAAACAGTGAAACTGACTAGACCGCTTTTCAGTGCTACAGAATCCTGGCAAGACTCTCTGAAAAGAGCAGGTCATTTTACCTCAATTTACAACCCCGCGACTGAGTCCCATTTGACCAGTTTTTCTTTCCTAGCCTGCTTCTCCCTGGGAAGGAGTGGCGTGCGTCCCACGGGTTGTGCTGCCCCCTGGTGGGGAGGCCCTCGCTGCACCCCCACAAAAGCAGGCTGGGTCCTGCCCAACCTCGGGGTGCCAAGCAAGTCCTGCCAGCTGCTTATATAACTTCTGGAGTGACTCACCGGCTTTTGATCCCAAGCGCGGAGAATAGTTTTTAAATCCGGGTGCCAAGAACGTTGCAAGGAGCCAGTCCTCAAGGCCTGGGAAGATGAAAAAGTTCTCCGCCAAGATGGGCGAACTCGTGGCGGGTGCGCTCGCAGGCGGAAATCCACCAGGTGGGACAGCTGGACTACACAGGAGGGTTTTAAGCAGGCCTTTAGAAGCCTCTCTGGAGCGGAGATTAAGGGCTGGAGAGCGGTGAGAGCTTGGCCTTCCTTTCTTAGCTTCGGTCGAGCCTCCCTGTTTAAGAGCAGTCTACCTCCGAACTTCCAAGGGCCAAGTCAATGGGCAGAAACGTCTCTGTCCTCTTCTCTTGACTGGGGGTGGTGGAAAGTGCAATTAGACTTTGAATCTCTTCGTTCCCTCCTCTTCCTCTTGCGGGAATAAGACCTCGCTTCCTTTCCCTTCCTGTCCTACCTCGCAGGGAGGTGTCGCAAAGCGGCATCGACCTGCAGTTGGCAGACCGAACCCCCCAATAGAGGCCTCAATTCCACAGCGGGTATCCCAGGATGCCCGATCCGAAGGAGAAACCCCAAAAAGTAAATTTTGGGAATAGAGACGCGAACGGAATTAATTCGCCGTCAAAGAATAACTTATTTTTAATCCCTTTATTTAGAAATAACTCAAGGCAGCAAACGTAACCAATGCACCTTCCTCCTATTTTTATTTTTTAACTTACAGGCTGCCCAACTTTCAATGACTCCATTGAAGGAGTTTTTTTTTTTTTAAAGTGCCAAAGTTTTTAAAACTTTGGAAAAAGTTTGCAGTCCTCATGAGGGCCACCCGAAGTGTCTTATTAACGGCACTTCTTGTTATTAATTTTATCAAGGCCTTTTGATGAAGGCCTCTGGAGGTGACACCCTGCTAATAAGTCTTCTGTGATCAAAATGAAGAACAAAAACAACAACAGCAAAAAAATAATCAAATTTGCAAGATGCATTTTTGTGCTGGGTGTGTATTGCCATGTTTAAAGCATCTATAAATTTAATAAATTATGACCTAGAAGACAGCTAATTTATTTTTCAGGCTTTTGAACACTCTTTTCGATGGATGCATTTTTCCTGGGCTCAATCCTTTCTTATTGCCACTGAACCATTGCAATGGCAATAAGCTTGTAAACAAAAGGCCTTCAGGATACTAGTCCTCATTTAAAATTTAAAATGTTCCCATTCTGAAAGAAGAGGAGGTGGCTGTCCTAGTCAGATTTTTCCTAGTTAAAAGTTAGCAAACCGAGAGATACAGAAAAGCAGTTATATGGGCCACATTTGCCAAGGATTAAAGTAGAAAGCACAGATTTTTTTCCCCACCAGTAAAGTTGGCAAAACTAGAATGCTGGTCCTAGCTCGCCCTCGTGTGGTTGGACCAGGAATGGCATGCCTCTACTGAACTAATTTGTTTATTTATTTATTTATTTATTTATTTATTTATTTATTTATTTATTTATTCATTCATTCATTCATTCATTCATTCATTCATTCATTCATTCATTCATTCATTCATTCATTCATTCAATTTATATACTGCCCTTCTCCTAGTGGACTCAGGGCGGTGCACAGCCAAAACTAAAATACATAACAATACAAAATTTAAAATTAATTAAAAGAATTATATACTTTGGCCCGAATTAAAACAGTGCGAATTAAAACCCATTAACAAATTAAAACTAAACAATTAATAACCATTAAAAACTAAAAAGGGGGGGGCGGGGTTCACGCGCAGGACTCCAATAATCAATCAGGAATCTAAAAGAAAAAAGTATTAAAATTATTAAAAAGGGAGCCGAATGCTTGCAGTGACATCCCCCCCTTTTTTTAATTTCTAAATTTTGCAAAGCTTCCCCCTGTGCCAAGAGATGCCCTCTTGGGGCCCGGCTGGGTATTGCAACAGGAAAAGGCAGGGAAAATGCCCTTTAAAAGGGGTGCAAATTTTTTAATTAGTTAATTCGCTATTCGGTTATTTTAGCGGAACTTCGACTTGGAAATCTACAATACAAGGAAGAAAAAAAAACGAATTAAGCAGTAAAGAGCTCCCTCTGGTGGCTGCAAACGGTTTTCCAACTGTGAAAAGAAATGCTGCCCTCTGGTGGCAAAATTTGGATGCATCGAGAAGCCAGGAACCCAATATTTGGGGCAGCTGAATGGTTTAAAAAAACCCAAAAACCTAAGTATCCAAGTTAAGCAAGAAAGTCCAACTAAGTGTAAAAACACACACACACACAAAAACACTTTATACTTTTATATTTTTAATTGCCATAGCGGCAATTTTGTTCCTAAAACACAACGTACACCTAAAACAACTTTGTGTGAAATTAGACAAAGGGATTTCAACCAAAGGCAGATTTTCTGAAAAGGAATCGGCTCACTCAGCTTTCTAGCCAGAAGAGCAAAAATTAGGGAGTTTACAGGCCGGGGATATGCTGAGGCCATCTAGTCCAACCCCTGGTTTAATGCCAGCTCAACCCCTTGCAAGGCTGTAATCCTTTGGCTGCAACACTGCAATTCTGGGCTTGTCCTCAAATATTGGGGGGCTGCCCCACCATTAAGAAAGACGGGATGCACTGCAGACAATTCCAGGCAGAAACGGCTTGAATTAAAACTGGATGGAATTTCGTTCCTTTTCTATCGTCGACCGATTCTTGCTATACCTCCGTCTGCCTCAAGGTGGCAGTGATACCCAGGGCGGCAGAGCTCCCTCTGGTGGCCGTTGCCTGGATCAAGCACACAGGGACTCCTCAATTTAATGACACCCATCATCGCGACGGGGATGTAATGGATGAGATTGTTGTGCCTGGTTTTAGGACTTTCCTGGCCATTAAATGAATCACGTCCTTAAGCAAATCAGGCACCGTGTACTGAATCCAGCTTCCCCCATTGACTTCGCGTGCCCTGGGCAGGCTTTAAATGGCGATCATGTGACCTTCCCCCAAGATACTGCTACTGTCCTAATTACCAAGTGCCCTCATTTTAAACATGGGGATGCTGTGATGGTCATAAGTGCGAGGATTGGCCATAAGCCTCTTTTTTTGAAGCACCATCATAACTCTGAACGGTTGCTAAGCGAATGGACGTATGTCAAGGACCACCTATATTGAAATGTAGACCCTCCAGAAGTGGTTGGAAGTCCATTCTTAGCTCTCCGTCAGCCAACAAGACTGGTTGGAGTAGACAAAGGACCTTCATTTATGGAGACGGTTGAAGGGCAACCGTTGCCCCTCCTGCCGTCCGCGAGGATATCTATACCACCCCCAGCTCTACTCTGCCAAGGACCCCCGTTCAGGGCAGAAGGGAATCCAGTGGGACGTCGCACTGGCCCAACACAACGTCACGCCGTAGACTGCAAGATTTGTTCAGGACTTTCATCCTCAGACTGCGCCGGGGGAGCTCCTCGGGGGTCACCCCCTCGAAGAAGAAGTCCTCGTTGAAGATGGGGTTACGGGTCCTCTTGATGATGGCACTGCGCTGTCTTTGACCTGGGCCGGGCCGCAGCTGCAGGGCGACACAGCAGTGGATGTGGCGAGGGCTGCCCTGCGGTGGGTAGAAGCCTTCAGCGCTCACCAAGCGCACCCGGAGGCTGCCTGGCGGCTGGAGGTACTCGCTGGAGAGACGCAGCTGCCCGCCTTGGCTGACCGTCAAAGTCACCTCTTTGGTCAGCCGCTGGTGGCAACGGATCAAGTCCAAGGGGAACAGCGACGCCAGGGACCAAGCGCCCGGTGAGATCCAGGGAGGATCGGCCTCGCGGCGCAGGCAGCAGGGACTGGTGTCGGTTGAGCTGGTGTCCTCCGTGGAGAAGGAGTTGGGACGCAGGGTGTGGGGGGACCGGCATGCCAAACGCCGCCGGTGCCCAGAGCCATGGCACGGCAGGAGCCCACCGAGAGGACGTGTGGGCACGGGGGAATTATACGGGGAGTTTTCTGCGGAAGAGGCGGTATCACTGTCCAGGCCTGGAGCGGGCTGCGAAAGGGGCCTTGTCCGTGGAGAGGAGAAGCAGCCAGCTTGCCCTCGGCGGGGTAGGGGTCTGCTGTGGAAGAGCGATTCGCGCCGCCAGGTGTTGGGGCTTTCGGGCAGGCACCCCAAGTCCATCGGGGTCGGCAGATGGATCGTGGTGGGGGCACCTGGGAGTCGTGCACCGGCCTGGTGTCCCTCCTGCACCTTAATGCCCTCATTTTTGACTGGTGGGGCTGGCGTATCGGTCGGCCTGGGGGTCCCAGCTGCACGCCGGCCTTGGAGAGTGGCGAGGTTGGGTGGGATGAAAAAGGAGGGGATTGTGTCGGGGGTCAGCACGTTGGGACAAGCTGGTTGGACGTTGTGGGTCTTTCGCTTGGAAAACATCTCAGATCAGGCCGGGGGAGCAAAAATCACCAGGTCGCCCCAAGACGGAAGCGAGAGGAGCCATGAGGACGAATTCTCTCATGTCGATCTGGGAGGAAATCGAAGGAAAATCAGTTAGAACCAGTTAGAACCAGTCGCTCCGCCTGCAAACAGGAATTAGAATCAACTCAGCGTCCTTCAACCAGCTTCAACCATCTTGGATGTTTTCAGACCTCACGAGGACTAGTGACTCGTTTTGGAAACAACATTCCAACTCAAAAAAGAAACAACAACAAAAATCAGAACACCTTCTGCAGGTGAATTGAAAAAAAAAACCCCATGAAGCCGCAAGTCCGGATGAATTCTCCGAAGGTGAGCACCTGCCCTCTCTGCTGATGTAGGTTTTTTTTGGCAACGGGAGGAACAAAATAAATTAAAACCCGGAGAACTTGCTAAAAAAAAAAAATTCCCCCCCTGCCTCTCCTTCCTTTCACAGTTCTTGGAATTTTGCAACGGAGACAAAACGTCCTATGTTTCGCAGAAGGAAGAGAAAAATGTCCGAAATAGCTTGCCAAAACTTCTTCCGCTTTGGAGAAAGATCTAAGCGGTGATTTGCGCGTCCGCACAAGTTGTGAATGTGGCTGCTTGCCCAGGTGTGACTTAAAAACACCTCTGAGTTGTTGACAGGGGATTATATCCCATCGGGGCCCTGGGGAGAAATTCAGAAACGTCAGGAGGCGTGGAAGCCCAGACACGACAAATCCAGATATACAACTGACGAGTGTGTGTATATGACACACCTACGCTTCCCTTTTCTTCCTCGTTCGCCCCCCCCAAACCCGCTGACCCATTTGGCAGAAGGAGAACGGGGTCTCTGAACATGTGCAGAGTGGTTTCTTGAACGGAAGCCAAGATGGGCAGAGAGAGATCTTTTGGGTGGGGGATTTTGGTGGAAAAGACCGGGAGGAGAAGGTGGAAAATCAAAGCTTTTAAAAATCTCCCCAAACCCTTGCTATTTTATTTCCATGCCGGAGGCGAGAGCCGCTTGGTGCAAATGTGAAATCTATCCCGAGAAATAAACTTTGGTGCAGAAAGCAGAGAGAGAAGAAAAATTCGGCAAAAAGCTTAGGGAGATTGCAAAAGTTGCATTGTCCCCCCCCCCCCCCCCGGGAATCCTTGCAAAACCGTATGAAGACTAAAATTCAGATTTCTCCCTGCAAGGATAACAGGGCGCATCGTATCTGCTTGTACAAGAAACCATGCACTCCTCCAATTCCCAAATGACCCCCCCCCATCCATCCATCCTGGTCCCCAATTACCTGGGCATCCTTTCTCCTCCTCTCTTCCTTCACCCCTTCCCAATCTGCCTTCGTGGCCCTCCAACACACCAACTGGCACAATGCAAACTTTCCATGTTGCTGTTTATCATCCGGAGCCTTTTGACGTCACCGCTTGTTGTGTGTTTCAGCTGCAACGATCCCCAGTCTCGGTCGGGGAGTCACACCACGGCAAACCACCACCACCGCCACCGCCTTTCCGCAGATCGAAGTTCCATGTTTTGTTTTCGGAAAAGCATCTCGTCTTCAAAACTGAACCGGCATCCGATCGGAAGCTGGGTTTGGCCCGAGAAAGCTGTGTAGAATTTGAACGACGTCGAGGGACCCTCGCGGCGTCTCTGTTCAGGCTACAAAATCTTTTCCTCCTGCCGTTGGCAGGGTGCCCCTCTCCGATCAGGTTTGGCACACAAAGCAAGAACAATGGGCCCATTCTTTGAAGCCAGGATAAATGTTTGCATACCGTGGCAGGCCAAGAAAACATGGCCCGCCTCTCGGACGTGATGTGTGCCCGTTGTTGCAAATCCTCCAGGCCGACCGTTGATTGACTGGCCTCGCTGGTTCGGCCCACGTGGTGTTTTCTTTTTAATTAACCTAACATTGTTTGCGACAACCGGTAGAAAACAAACAGTGCCGTTACTAAGCTAGGTAACCAACACACAACTTTTTCCCCGGGTTGAGAATTCAGAAGAAACCGTCCAGACGTCCAAAATTGGATTGCGCCTATTATCGGCTTCAGAATATTTACGGGAAAATGACGAAGGAGCTGAGAAAAAAAAAATGCAGGGGGTTGTGGGTTATTAATATACACAACCCTTGACGTACAACAGTTTTTAGTGAGCGTTCAAAGCCACCGCGGCACTGAAAAAAGGGACTTAATGACGGTTTCGCAAACTTATGACCGTTGCAGATATCCCTGTGGATTTAAAACTCAGATGCTTGGAAACCATCGGCTCATATTTATGACGGTTGCATGTCCCGGAGTTTTGTGTCATGTGATCCCAGAGTCCATGGGATCCCCTTCTGTGACCTTCAAAGTCAACGGAGAAGCTAGATTCATTTAACAACCGTGTTACTGATGTAAGAACTACAGGGATTCGCTTAAGAATGGCGGCAGAAGTTGTAAAACGGGGCAAAACCCATTTGACAAATGTCTCGCTTAGCCTCAGAAATCCTAGGCTCAATTATTGTCGTAAGTTGAAGCCTATCTGTGTAAATGTCTTTTATGGGTCTGATGAGCTACGGGAATTCCTTTCTGAGTCTCTTTTTCCACCCGTTATGCAGCTGAGGGCTAAGCCGTCCAGAAGTGGTATTCAATTACTTTCCCTACCAGGTGGCAAATGTGAACATGCGTACAACATGGGTTTACTTCGCTCACATGCACCCCGTCCACGCATGCATCCGGTCTCAAAAATGTGCCTAAATAGCACGACTTGATTTCTGATTTCTGCTACCGGTTCGGGCGAACCGATCCAAACCAGCTGAATCCCACCTCTGAAGCCTTCTCTTATCTGACTGTTCCCGAAGCAGCATCTCTTCCCCTCGCTCCTCAAGGCCATTCCCACATCCCATTAAACATTTTCCGTTCCTTTTTAAGTAGGGAGACTGTAGTAAGAGACTGAAAACGCTCTCAGGATGTTTCCTTTTGGCCCCCTTGAAGGCAGGATGAGAAAACAACGGATGGAAACTAATTCTAGGTGAGAAGCAACCTAGAACTAAGGAGGAATTTCCTGACAGTGAGAATAATGGAACAGCTTGCCTTCAGAAGTTGGGTTTTTTAAAAGAAGAGATCGGAGAGACCATCCGCGAGCTGTTGGACAGCATTACTTGGTCTGTTGTGTGGATATTTGGGTGGTTTAGGAGTGGGGAATTGTGGTGGGTGGGAGTGTGTTTGGGGATTGTTATGTATGTTGGACCTGGTGTTTGGGTTTTAAGTGAGTTTAGTATAGGGCAGTCTTTCTGAACCTTGGAAGCTTGAAGATGGGTGGACTTCAAGCTACCAAGGTTGAGAAACACTGGTATAGGGTCTCCTGCCTGAACAGGGGGATGGACTAGAAGACCTCCAAGGTCCCTTCCAACTTTGTGATTCCGTTATTTATTCCATTAAACACAAGGCCACACCTCTATTCAACTTCAGCACCAGGGACAGCTCTTGAATCTTTAGTACCATGGACAGCTCCCCATTTAGCCAGGAGCCAAACAGTTCAAAATGTTGGCTCACCAACCTCAAAGACGATCCCCAAACCTGATTTTAACCCCCTTCCTCTTGAACCCGAGGCTTTCTTGAACCCAGACCCTTTCCAGGGCAAGATGCTTGAAGTCCCTATTGCTAAGTGACACCAGTTTTTTTTTAAAAAGGGTAATGACTTCAATTTTTTCACAGGAAAACAGGAAAGCCACTTTGAGAACAAAATAGATTCAGGGCACCTCATTCTCCAAATAATTAACGACATTCACTTATTTATTTATTTATTTATTTATTTATTTTTATTTTGCAAAGGGAAGCTTTCATCCCCTGAACTACAAATATATTTGGAAACTTGGGAAGGCAAGGGGAAAAAAAGTTCCCATTCCTGAAAAGTTTTGGTCTTCCGGTAGAACTGGAGCAGATTCTTGATTTTCCCCTTGTAAAATCAAGAAGAGATCATGAATCATTTTGGAATTCTTTCCCCCGGGAAGATCCGAAGAGAAACAAGGTTTTGAAGGGAGCCAGAGGCCGATTCAAGCTTCTCCTTCAAGGGTGTGCAAATAACACTTATCAGTTTGTTTCCCCACCCACCAAAAGTTGAGGTTTCAGGAAACTTTGTGAGCGTTTTATTCATAAGAATGAAACAATAAGTGAAACTAGAATTTGAAATATTAAAAATGCATAAGAACATGATTAGCAGTAAAATATTAGAACTAAAAAAATGGGTGATTAGATAATGAAAGAATTTATTTTAATATACATGTGTATTAATAGAATTATACTCTATATTATAAAATGTATAATACCCAGATATCACCGTATACATATCACACATTGATGCATTTATATATATATCATACATTGATATGTATAAACAATATAAAATAAAGCCAAAAACTTGGGGAAAAACAAAAAAGGATCCCTGTTGGCCTGAAGAAGGATCAGTTGGAGTTGGTCACTGGGTGGGAAGAAGTCTTCGTGTCCAGATGGATCAAGAGAGCTGCAGCCAGGGAAGATGGGAGACAAAGAGATGGAGAAAGGAGTTGAGACTGGAAGAGGAAATGGTTGGGAGAGGAGAGGTGGATGCCTTTCCTTTGGCAAAGCTGCCCGTCGTGTATCTCCAGAGCTTCCACCACACCTGCAGAACCATACCTGCCCTGCAGAAAAAGGAGAGACACCTGTCCTCCACCCAACCCATTTGCGCCGAAAGGGAGGAGAAACCCAGAAGACGAGAAAAAGGGAAGAGAGAAAAACCGAGGAGATAAACGGTGATTGCGTCCTTGAGTCTTGTTGTTCCTTCTGAAGGAAGCCGGAGAGAAGGAGGTCATTCTTGGAGAGTTTTTCCAAGAATGAGAGCCAATGGGAAGGTCCCATTTGGATTCAACAGGTAAACTCACCTGTGGCTTCTGCGTGAAGGTTTTGCGCGTCGGTGCTCTGTACACTCCCGGACAGAAATATCTTCCTCTCTTCTACTTTCTCCACCTTGCTTTCCACGAGGACTACGGAGCCCAGCGGGATGGGGCTGGAAGAGGAAGGACGGTCAGGGCAATGGAGGATGGTTCTTGGCAGCTAAATCTCTCGGTGGCTGGAGCCAAAGCAGAGTAAGCCATCTCAAGTACCGCCCTCCCCTTCTCCATCTTCTGACCCATCTGGCTTTGTCAGCCCAGCATCAAGGAGGAAATAACAGGCTAGTCCTCACAACGGTTCATTTGGTGACGGTTTAAAGTTACGAAGTGACTCGGGGGCCATTTTCACACTGACGACCATTGCCGCATCTCCCGTGGCCGCACGAATTCCAAAGTCAGACGCTCGGCAACTGACTCGTATTTATAATGCCCACTGGGGCAGTGTCCCCCGCCCCGGTGTGTGTGTGTGTGTGTGTGTGTGTGTGTGTGTGAGACACAATCCCCTTTTGCAACCTGGCCGGCAAAATCAACGGGGGGAGCCCGGTTCTTTTAACGGCGGCATTATGAAATTGAAAACCGGAAGGATTCACTTAACAGGTGGCAAAGAAGGTCGCAAAGTGGGGTACAAGCTCCCCGAACCAATGTCTCATTTAGCAACAGAAACGTTGGGCTCCATTGTGGTCGTTAAAACAAGGACCGCCTATAGGCCTGAGAAGCAAGCCGCCCCTCTCTCTCTCTCTCTCTGAGACGGCATAATAGAACGACAGATTTGGAAGAGATCCTTAAAACGGGACAAAATTCACTGCACCGACGTCTCGCTTAGCCACGGAAAAGTTTGGGGCTCACAACGGTGGCCACAAGCTGAGGATCACCTCAATCTGAGCGCAGAAAGAGACGCGAAACCTCGCTTACCTCTTGTAGTCCACGGAGAGGTTGGCGGTCATCAGGATCCCGAAGGCGCAGATGCCACAACTCGCAAAGGTGTGATCCAGGATGGCAGCCACGGCTCCCCCGTGCACAAATCTGGATCGAGTCGGGAGTCGACATCCGAAGAGGCGGAACGGAAAAGAGGGCGGAGAAGAGCAACAAAGAGGATTTATTTATTTGTTATTTATGAATTCAATTTGTATGCCGCCCCTCTCCGAAGACTCGGGGAGGATTAGGGGAGTGAAGGATAAAATCGACGAAGAACGGTTGCAGGAATTGGGGGTGTCTAGTTTAAAGAAAAGAAGGACTAGGGGAGACATGATAGCATCTCCCAGTATTTGAGGGGCTGCTGCCCCAAAGAAGAGGGGCTCCACTTATTTTCCAAAGCACCAGAAGGCAAGGCAAGAAGCCACAGATGGAGACTAACCAAGGAGAGAAGCAACCTGGAATTAAGGAGAAATTTCCCGAGAGTGAGGACGATTAACCAGTGGAACAACTTGCCACTAGAATGTATAGGTGCTCCATCCCTGGAGGCTTTTAAGAAGAGATTGTCTGCCATGATATATAGGGTCTCCTGCTCGAGCAGGGGGCTGGACTAGACCACCTCCAAGGTCCCTCCCATCTGTGTTATTCTGTTAACGGGCTGAAAGGAGAACTTTGAGGAAAAGGAGCTTCCCACCAAGACAACAGTTTGAAAAAAAAACGAAACATCCATCTGGGATAAATTTGGGATATTTCCCGTCAGATACAATCTCTTCATTTTCCTCTTCCTGTTTTGCAAAATAAGTTGCACGCAGTCCTAAGGCCTGGGGGGGAAAAAATGAAGCACCCTTTTAATTTTCTCTCGTTTTTTTCTGCCAGGGAGCGAAACTGATGATGGAACTTCTCTTAAAAATTTTTTTTTCCTTGCCAGAAAGACAGCAAGGGCGTGTCAGAAGAACATGCCTGCCAAAAACTTTATTTATTTACTATTTAATTCAGATTTGGGGCTGAACTAATCTGCCCGATGCCCTTTCCTTTTCTACTGATAAAATCTGGAAATTGCCATTTATTAATAGCAATAATAAAATTCCCATAAAATGGGAATAATAAAAATATTCCCATTTTAGATGCCTTGGAAGAGGCCCTCGTATCTGGCACTGGGAAAATTTTCCTGGCACCTGTTTGGCATTCCTCAAATTAAATTGAAGAAGCTTTTATCGATAGCCTCACAGTTCCATGGTTCAATGCTGGCAGTCCTCGAAATATAACCGTAATCGTGACTGCTGATTATGGTCACAGCCGTCATAAAATGGGTCAGCCACGTAATTGTGGGGAAGAAGGAGACCCGTCAGAACTTCGGATCCTGGCCCTAAGTCCCTCCTTTGCAGGTAGGTCGTAATTTTGAATTACCCGTTAGGGTGTGTGTAAAAAGTATTTGTTGCGTATGCAACGAGCAGAGCAGAAACACACAGGGAAGGAGATAAACGTACAGCTCGTGTGAGAAAAATACTTTATATACAAGATAATAAGCCATCGGTCGTAAATCAGGGACTATCTGTAAGCCAGGTATTTTCTCTCAAATTTTTCCAATCAACCCAATGGAACAGAAGTTGCCTTCAGAAGTTGTGGGAGCTTCATCCCTGGAAGCTTTCAAGAAGAGACTGGGCAGAAATGGTGGTATGGTCTCCTATTTGGGTTGGACTAAATGACCTCCAAGGTCCCTTCCAACTCTGTTAATCTGATAAATGTTAGAAAAATGTCCGACCAGATGCGGAGACGTGGGTTCGATCTACCTGACCAAGCTCACCCGATCATCCCTTCCAAATACGATCCGGCTTGGAGAAGAACCACCATCCGTCTCTCCGAGCCGTTGTAAAACATGGCAAACTCGAACCCGCGGCCTTCGGTAGCCACGTTTCGGACGAATAAGCAGGCGTCTTGATGCTTTCTCGGCTTGTACCCCAATTTGCTGCGAACTACGAAGGGAGGTGGAGGGGAAAAAAAATAATGACGGAGAAAACAAAGAAATTAAAATTTGGGGAAAAAAAATCCCCTATTTTATTAGATTTGCGGTTTGGGCTACAATAAAACAGCTAAGAAATGCTAACACCCTCCAGAAGAGGAAAAATAATCCAGATCTAGAATATTTGGGTTGGAGGGGAGAAGTAGAATTAGTTGGGGGTCACAAGGTGATGATTAGGAGTTAATTTTTGAACCGGGCTACGGGAGAAAAGGGGACGCAAGGAGACAAAATTTGAGAGTTGGTGCAAAATTGTCCCTGCATTAAAACTGGAACTTGGATTCTGGGATTTTCTTCCACTTCAGAGGTGGGTTCGTTGACCTTAATTGCACCCACATTATCTGACCCCAATCAGGGTCTTACACATCGATAACTTGACCTACATTTTCTGGGAGTTGGAAATCCACCCATCTTCAAGTTGCCGACTTGAGGAACGCAACTCCACACTTCACACCTTCCTTCTAAGACTGGGAGACCGGCCTCCCTTTAATTCGTGACGTGGCTGAGAGCCAGAGCTTTCGCCCTACGACCTGCCGGACATCTAAGGTGGCATTACTCAAACCTTGCCAACTTGGAGATGGGTGGAGTTCGACTCCCAGAAGTCCACTTTTCTGGGAAGTTGGAATCCAACTCATCTTCATGAGGTTGAGCAACCTTGCGGAGGGAAGGACGTGGGCAAACGATTTGGGCAGATCAAAGAATGAAGATGGGCTGGGAATGTGCCAACTTTCTAACAAGCTGACATTTTTGCAGAAGGAAGGAAACGTTCTGGGAGGAAACGTTTCGAGTGGGATGGAAAGACTGACCTGGCATGCTGTCCACGGAGTTGTTATAACTGGGGATGCGTTGCCACGATCCGTCCTCGGACATCTTTGTGAACTTCTCAAACTGGTCCATCATCTCTTGGCTCCAACTTGGGTTGGGGACGCCAAAGTCCCTGAGATGCTGGTGGGGCTGTTGCTGGGAAGGAAGGAAGACAGGACACTTGCGTTGAGGGACCCCACCCAGGAGCCTTGGTAGTACAGTGGTTTAAAGCACCCTGTTATTAAGACCAGCTGCCTGCAATTACTGCAGGTTCGAATCTCGCCAAGGCTCAAGGTTGACTCAGCCTTCCATCCTTTCTAAGGTAGGTAAATTGAGGACCCAGTTTGTGGGGGCAATAAGCTGACTTTGTATAAATATACAAAAGGATGAAGGCTATTGCTTAACGCATTATAAGCCGCCCTGAGTCTCCGGAGAAGGGCGGCATATAAATCAAATTAAAAAAAAAATGTCCACAAGACACTTCAAGGCACATGGGTGAGTTATTTGCAGGTCTTCAATCTTCTCTATCCAACCCATGAATGCAGGAGCCTCAACCTTCTCTGTATCCTCCAGAATCTCCTTAGGATCTCAGAACTTTTTAGATGGTCCTCCAAAACCAGGAATGAAGAGGTTTATTTGGAGGAGGGTGTCCTCCCCTTCCTTTTAAACCCTCCCCAATACTCACTGTGGAGGTCCTTCTGAACAGCACATGGGGATGCTGTACCAAGAGTTCTTTTGCGATTGCCAGATGAGGTATCCTGGTGGCCAAATCTTTGACCCTCTGGTTGATGTTCCTCAAAACACAATGCATTCTGAATCTTCCGACCCACTGAGCTCTTGGGAAGGGTGTCTTCTTCTCAGCAGCTCTTCTTCGGGCAGAACTCAACTCCCAACAGCTTTAATAGGCTACTCCCTTCCATCAGCAGAGGAATTTCACCCAGGACCAATTGGAGTGAAGCCTATAATTTCTTCCTTTCACCTTCAAATTAGAAGGACTTGAGAAGTTTGCTCAAGCATCTGATTTCATGCCAAAATCTTCCATGAAAAATTTGGGTCCAATCACCTGGTCTTAATCCCTGATCCGTCGGCATATTTTCGCCGAATAGATCACATAAGCATGATGTTGCTTGGCAGGTTTTTAAAGATGTCCACAGTTACAAGAGATATCCGCAGAGGTGTAAACAGAGATGATTTATAGCTCCGTCATGCTCAACTTGACAGATGTTAGCAACAAAACATCTCCCAAGTGAAGGCAAATACGTGTCCCAAGATATTGATGCGAGATTAAATTTGGGTTGGTCACCAGAGGTTCACTTTTCCAAGCTTTCGGACTCATGCTGGAGCCCATCCTTGGAGAACTTCTCTCTACTGGAGTAGGTGTTTTGGGCAGTTCTTTGACAGGACAATGTCCTCTTTCCTGCTGCAGAGATAGGTCACCTCCCAAGCAAAGGATTGAAGGCTTCACCAACCCCAAGATAAAGCAGAAAAATGCAAACAACCTCAAACCGACCAGTCTTCACCCAGGATCTAAGGTGCTCACCAGAACCTTCCAAGGTCCAGAGAACCAAAGGAGGTTGGGTTAGAATATCTAGATCAGGGGTGGCCTTCAAACATTTTAGCAAGGGGTTGTCTGCCTGGTTGCTGGGTGGGTGTGGCCATGGTGGGTGTGGCCTAGTTGGCCTCCTGCACCACGGTGTGTGTGTGTGTGTGTGTGAGGGTGTTTTTGCCCTCCCCGGGCTCCGGAAGCTTTCCTTGGGCCTCCGGGAGAGTGAAAACGGCCTCCCCAGGCTCCGGAGGCCCTCTGGAGGCTGGAAACGGCCCCGTTTCTGGCCTTCCGGTAGGCCCATTTTTCACCCTCCCCGAGCCTCCGCACGCGCCCTGCACTTACTTGCATCCAAAATGAGCCATGTGGGGACTCCTGGGAGGGGAGGGGTAGGCGGGGCCAGCCAGAAGTGAGATTTGAGGGTTCTCCGAACCGCACAGAATCTTAGCTAGAGGTTCTTCCGAACCCCTGCGAACCTCCAGTTGTATCTTTTCCCAGTTGTATCTTAATAAGGCTTGCTTGTTCTGGGAGATTTTTCCATCTTCCAAATCCAACCTGTGACTTGCCTTTAAGAGTATTTCTCCACCCTTAAATTAAAATTAATGAATGACTGTATGACTCGAGGGATTTGGGGAGGGTCTCTTTTTTTCCCCCATCCCTGACCTGTGGCCATTTTTCTCCTGAGCTCCCAGCTGGCATCAGGAAAATCAAGAACAACAGGAGGAATTTACGCAAACCGGTTCCCAAGGATGAAACAAGACACAATAAAGAGTAATTACATTTATCGTTCTCATTGGCAACTGCCACGCTGTCACTCAAACCAACATGTAATAAAACACAGGTGTAAAGGTTATCCCTAGCCCTAACCCCTAATCATGAGTCTCGAGCCAAGCTTCAAAAGAAATCCAGTTATTTCTTAGGAGCTTCACGTCGGCATGTTCCCAAGTGAAGCCAGCTCTGACCCTACGTCATTTATGCTCCAATTATGACCCTGTTTCCCTCCTCCCCCCAGGGTGTGTCACATTTGCCAACGGAACTATTTCGAGGGTTGTAGAGGTCACTCCCCTTCAGCTGCTGTAGGTAACCCTGGGATACAGCCTTGAGAGAGATAAGCGTGGAATGTGCATCTGTCTTTGGTTGCTGTGCCATTTTGCTGGTTTCCCATCCCCCCGGCCTATGGCAACTCGAGAACAGGCCAGGGATGCTTTGTGAGTTGACAAAAGGTAAGTGTCAACTCTTCTACAAAGCACTTAGAAGTATCCTTCCCCTGCCACGCCCACCTAGCCACGCCCACAGAACCAGTAGTAAAAAAATTTGAATCCCACCACTGATGCAAACCCCCCTCCCTTCTAGCACTGATGATATTACCTAGTTGGGTCGCGAAATGTCTGCCCCAAGTTGAGAGACCCCCCTCCTCCCCCAAGAGCCCCACAGTCCAATCCTGATCCAATTCTCTTCAACTCCACCAGTTCAGAGGCTCGCCTCAAAAGCAAAAAAAAAAAAAAATCTGCCACATTTGAAAGACTAAAAATATAGATACCAAGAAAAGGGGGAGCGAGTTCGAAAGCAGCTGGAAAACACCCATTGGGTTTTAGAACTGTTGGCACCAAGGTCAGACCTATAAGGTGACAACCCAACAAGAAATTTTGTTTGTGGGATTCATGGCCTCCCACCTCCATGATAAATGGTGCTATTTTCACTGAGATCAAACAAGCATGTTGCTTAACTGGTTATTGAAGATGTCAAGAGGAAAGCTGAGTGATGCAAGCAGAGATGATCGAGTATTTTCTCCACCTGGGGGACCCTTAATTAAAATTAACAAATGACCGCATATGCCTCTTTTTCCATCCCTGACCCGTGACTGTTTTTCTCCTTAGCCGGCATCGGGAAAATCCGGAAGAGGGATTTGCGCAAACCCGTTTCCCACAAGGACAAAATAAGAGCAGACGCATAAGAGAATAAATTACATTTATAATTTGTCATTTGCAATCTCACGGTTACTCAAGCCAACATGTAAAATACTTTGTGTAAAAATAGGTTTAAGTGCTAACAATCCTTCCTTCGCTCAGAAGGCGGAGCAGAGGTAGGCGTTTAACAAGGCGTAAGGTCAATGCACCCCACAAACTCCGAGCAGACCCAGTGAAGAGGCCCAGACAATGGGGAATGCGGGATGCTGTGATAACCAGCACATGGGCAGAAACCTTCGCAGGCGTCGTTGACAAAAGGAAGGGAGCAACCAGGTAATGCTGCCCCATTGGACAATAAAGCACCTGGGGTCTCCCTTCCTGAAGTCACTCATTCTCTGAAACCATCCCCAAGGTTAAGAAGAGCGGCTCTCAAAAGTGACGATCTGGATATAGGTTAGATCAGGAGTCGGCAATCGGTGGGCTCTGGAGCCGCGTGTGGCTCTTTCATCCCTCTGCTGCAGCTCCATCGTTGGTCTGCTCCACAATTGATAGGGCTTTCGGTTAGGACAGGTAGAGGAAAAAGGATGCTGCACTAGGAGGAGACTCTATGGTGGGGGAAGCGGACTTCCGGTCAGCTCCAGAATTGAAGGGGAGGGGGGCTTCTGGTCAGGACCTTTGTGACCCTTTGAGTGTTTAAGGTTGCCGACCCCTGGGTTAAATTGTCGCTTTTGAGAGTCCTCCTCTTCCTCCTCCACTCCGCAAACCCCACCCTTTCTAAGCATTGATGACGGTACATAGTTGGGTCCAGAAACGTCTGAAGGAAACCACCCAGCTGAGAGACCTCCCACCTCCCCAACGACCCTCACACAGTCCAATTTTTCTTCAACTCCACCAGTTCGGAAGCTCGCCTCGAAAGAAAAACATCTGCCACATGTGAAAGGGTAAAAATATAAATATCCTCGAAGGGCCAAGAAAGGGGGGAGCGAGTTCGAAAGCAGCCGGAAAACACCCACTGGGTTTTTTTTCTATGAACTATGGCACCAAGGTCAGACGTGTGAGCTGACAACCCAACAAGAAATACAGTTTGTGGGACTCATGGCCGACCACCTCCACGACAAATGGCGCCATGCCAAACAGGTGTGGGGCTGCCGTTTTCAACACGCTGATGTTCCACCCAGTTGGGCAAAGAAGGCAGGAGAGATACCGATGAAACTCTTGAGAGGGGCTTGTAGTGGGAGAGTCGAGGGAGAGGAAGGTGGACGAAGAGCTGGGCCTGTGGTTGGCTGTTAAGGGGAGCTGCTGGAATCCGTTTCTTTCTGGGGCTGCAGTTCGATGAAGAGACCTTAAAAACAACAACAACAGGAGAGAAACAAAGGAGAAATAGACAATTCGAGGCTAGGAAAATAGAATATTACCGAAAACTGAATCAGGCAATCAGGGTAGCTGCCCCTAACCTATATTTCTCAACACCCGGAGGGCTTTCGGCTATGCTGCTTAGAATTCTGGGAACTGTAGTCTGGGGGTAAGAGGGGGAATCCAGGTTGAAGAAGGCAGGTTGAAGTGACTCTCTACAGGTATTCGACAGTTCGTTGAATGACCATTCAAAGTTGCGACGGAGACTCTATAATAACCAGACTTCAGGTTAACAAGAGTTGGAAGGGGTTTTATAGGTCATCTAGTCCACCCCATCGCTCGAGCAGGAGACCCTACACCCTTTCTGACCAATGGCAGTCCAATCTCTTCTTGAAAGTCTCAAGTGAGGAAGCTCCCACAACTTCCGAAGGCAACTTTTGTTCCATCGGTTGATTGTTCTGTCAGAAAATTCTTCATTTCTAAGTTGAATCTCTCCTTGTTCAGTTTTCATCCATTCTTCCTTGTCTGGCCTTCAGGTGCTTTGGAGAAGAGCTTGACCCCCCTCCTCCTCTCTGTGGCAGCCCCTCAAATATTGGAACATTTCTATCCTGTCTCCCCTGGTCCTCTCTTCACTAGACCATTTCTTCTGTCCATCCATGGTTCACTCAGATCTTTCTTCTTTCTTTCTTTCTTTCTTTCTTTCTTTCTTTCTTTCTTTCTTTCTTTCTTCTTTCGCTTTGGAAAATAGCTTGACCCCCCTTCCTCCTCTCTGTGACAGCCCTCAAATATTGGAACATTTCTATCCTGTCTCCCCTGGTCCTTCTCTTCACTAGACCATTTCTTCTGTCCATCCATGGTTCACTCAGATCTTTCTTTCTTTCTTTTTTCTTTCTTTCTTTCTTTCTTTCTTTCTTTCTTTCTTTCTTTCTTTCTTTCTTTCTTTCTTTCTTTCTTTCTTTCTTTCTTTCTTTCTTTCTTTTCTTTCTTTCTTTCTTTCTTCTTTCGCTTTGGAAAATAGCTTGACTCCCTTCCTCCTCTCTGTGGCAGCCCCTCAAATATTGGAAGATGCTATCCTGTCTCCCCTGGTCCTCCTCTTCACTAGACTAGCCAGGCCCAGTTCCTGCAACCGTTCTTCATATGTTTTAGTCTCCAGGCCTTTCATCGTCTTAGTTGCTCTTCTCTGCACTTTTTCTAGAGTCTCAACATCTTTTTTATAATGTCACTGCCAAAACCTACCCGTGGCCTCTGCATGGAGGGTCTGTCCATCGGTGCTCCGCATTTCGCCGCTTGCAAAGAACTTCCTGCCTTCGATTTTGTCCACCCTGCTGTCCACCAGGACCACGGAGCCCAATGCCACGGGACTGAAAGAGGGGAAAAAACCTCCAGTAATGGTTACGAGACGCCGTGTTCCTCACTTAGCAACCGTGGCAAGAAAGGTGACTTAACCAATATTTCGCTTAGCAACCGAAATTTGGGGCTCTACTGCCGGTCTTTAAATCAAGGGCAGCCTGTCTAGACAATTCAAATAAAACTCTATACAAAATACAAACGCTGAACCTTATAGAAATGGCTTGCTTATATTCTTATGGCCAAACAAAAAAAGGGGTGATTTGACGGCAATGCCTTATTTTACCGCAACAAAGTCAAAAGTCTTGGTAGTACAGTGGTCTAAAGCACCCTGTTATTAAGACCAGCTGCCTGCAATTACTGCAGGTTCGAATCTCACCAAGGCTCAAGGTTGACTCAGCCTTCCATCCTTTCTAAGGTAGGTAAATTGAGGACCCAGTTTGTGGGGGCAATAAGCTGACTTTGTATAAATATACAAAAGGATGAAGGCTATTGCTGAGCACATTGTAAACCGCCCTGAGTCTCCGGAGAAGGGCGGCATATAAATCAAATTAAAAAAAAAAAAGTCAACTTTTTTTCCCTTCCTCACTTCTCTTCCCCCTCTTCCTCCCCTCCGTTCTCCTGTTTACTTTCGCATTCTGTATCTTATTTTACCTTATCACTCAATAAAAAATGTGAAACCTAGAATAAAACAAAACAAAACCCTGCGCCTCAGAATTGGCAGTTCTGGAACAGTTGACCCAACCTGGCCCATTCCGACTTCGATTCTTCTTCAATTCAGTCCTCAATTCAAATTCTCGTTTCTTAAGGCACTGACCTCCTATAGTTTATGTTGAGGTTAGCGGTCACTATCCTGCGGCTGACGGAGAAGACGCTGCTCCCCACCATGCTGTCCAGGACGGTGGCGATGGCCCCGCCGTGGGTGAACCTTCACAGAGGCAGAAATAAAGCAAAAATAAAAACTGAGCCACCGATGCCTGCGGAAAGTGGGAGCTTGCAAACGCACAAAAGGTGAACGCGAGGAGGGGATTTATCACCGTGGAAAAACCAGGACGGGCAGGCTGAGCTGCCCAGCGGATGCTCCAAAGAGATCCACGTTGATTAACGATTAACCCATAAGCAAAAGGGACGCGGTGGCTCAGTGGTTAAGACGCTGAGCTCGTCGATCGAAAGGTTGGTTGAAAGTTCAGTCACTCGAATTGTGAAAAAACATGCAAAGGCCGCCTGCTTTCTACCAGGAAATACGCTTTGGTTTGCCCTTATGCTGTGTCCTAGGCCCAAAAATAAATCTCTCTCTCTCTTTCTTTTGTATTGGCCTGGTCTATTCTATTATTATTAGTATTACTCCAATAATAAAAAAAATAAAAAGTTATTGGAATAAAACTCCAATAACTGTACAGGTAGTCTTCTCGTTAGAAGATGATGATGATGATGATGATTATTATTTAGTTTACTTTATTGGTTAGCCCTTGGGCCATATCCAAGTGCAGAGGTCCAGACACAAATTATTACTAAAATATGCTAAAAACAATTTAAAATGGGATTGGATGAAATTTAAAATGAAATTGGAATAAAATAGTTTAAAATGAAATTGGAATAAAGTAGTTTATAATGAAATTGGAACAAAATAGTTTAAAATGAAATTGGAATAGTTTAAAATGAAATTGGAATAAAATACAATAATTTAATATATAAATAAAATATGATAAAATGCAGTCCTCGATTTATGACAGTCACTTAGCAGCCGTTCAAAGTTGCAATGGACCCTCCCTAACAGGTATTTAGGACCCAGGTCCAAACTCCCGCCCCATCACGACTTTCGGCCGTAACGGGGAGACTCCATTGTGGTCGTTTAAGTCGAGGAATAGCTGTAAACGTTTGCAAAATCTTTCCAGAAAGACGGTCTGGCCAGGCTCCAAAGATTTTAACAACGCCTGGCATCAAACCCTGATTGTGTTTCTCATCCTAGGTAGTTTCAAGACAACGGATGAGCGAATCAACAACGTGGGAGGGAAACGGAGGCCCCTTACTCTGACACAATAATTTTAAGAAAAGTGCCTGAGTCAGAATTTCAGAATAGGAAGGAGGTAAGATGATGTCAAGCCTCTTCTACTTAAGCCCAGGTCTTATTTTTCACTGGGAAGTCCAACTTTTCCCCAACCTATTTATTCCCAAGAATCAGCGGAAGGCAGGATTTAGCACGAAGCTTCGTCTCTCTAGCAGGATTTTGGGCTTGGCCAGTCTAGAGAAAAGGAGGACTAGAGGATGACATGATAGCAGCCTTCCAATGTTTGAGGGGCTGCCCCAAAGGAGAGAAAGGGTCAAATTATTCTCCAAAGTACCTGAGGGTAGGACCAAGAAGCAACGGATGGAAACTAATCAAGGAGAGAAGCAACTTGGAATTAAGGAGAAATTTCCTAACAGTGAGGACAATTAACCAGCGGAACAGCTTGCCACCAGAAGTTGTGGGTGCTTCATCACTGGAGGTTTTTAAGAAGAGACTGGACAGCCGTTTGTCTGAAATCGTCTAAGTTTTCATGCCTGAGCAGAGGGTTGGACTAGAAGACCTCCAAGGTCCCTTCCAACTCTATTCTGATTCTATATTCTGAATTATTTTTTAAAGCTCACCCTGAAGGCCCCTCAAGATAGGGCCCCATTTGGAAGACGGCCGCCACCCTCTTCTCCGACAGGTTCATGAACATGGCGTACTCGAAGCCCATGCCTTCCCTGTCGATATTTCGGAGAAAGAGGCGGCGTTTTTGGCTTTGGAGTTCTTCCTTCTGGAGTCCTTCTGCAGAAGCGACCCAAAAAAAAAAAGGCAACGTCAGTCAAAGTTGGACCCCCCCCAAATGAAACTAGAGCTGGTCCTCATCTTACAACTACGACAATTTCTGCTCTAAGCGAGGCAGTGTTGTTTGCCCCATTTTCTTGCCGTGGCTAAAATACGAGTCAGTTGCCGAGCGTCTGAATTTTGATCTCGTGTCTGTGCAATTGTCTCTTGAGTCTTTCTTTTCTTTTCTTTTTGTAAACAAGTTTTATTAAAAATTTTCTTCCATTATACATGCTTTATGAACAGAGTGTAGACCGGGTCACATCTTATAGATATTAATTTTTATGATTTATTCCAATCTTCCCGCTTTTTCCATATTCATCTCTTTTTATATAATTTTTTTTAATCACAAATTCATAATTTTTCACCATGTCTTGTTTCATCTCTTCCTCCCCCTCCAGTACATGTTACATATTTCCAATTTCGACCATAATATTCTTTTTCCGTATTTCATCTTATCTTAATCTCTTCCTAATACATAATAAACAGTATCACTATCCGCCCTTTAATTCCTAATGTCGTATATCATCAATTAATTATCTTATTTCTCCATTTGCTAAATATATTTAGCAAAATCCCTCACTTTTTAACTGTACACAATATATATATCATCATATTCAATTCTTGCATTAAAACCCTTTAACTTGATTATCTACATCAGAGGTCTTCAAACTTGGCAGCTTTAAGACTTGTGGACTTCAACTCCCAGAATAACCACTCAAAGTTATGACGGCACTGGAAAAAAGTCACTTACAACTGGGTCCTCTCTTTTATAACTAGAACAACAAAGAGAGAAAGAAAGGGAAAGCAAGAAGGGAGGGAGGGAAGAGGAGAAAGAAAGATGGACGGAAGGATGGAAGAAAGAAAAGAAAGAAAAAAAGAAAGGGAAGAAAAGGGAAGGGAAGGAAGGAAAGAAAGCAAAAGAAAGAAAGAGAAAGAAAGAAAGAAAGGAAGGAAGGAAGGAAGGAAGGAAGGAGAAAAGCTTGCCTGGAAGATGATCAGAGTAACTTCGGTAAGATGGCAGCTTCCTCCATCTGCCATCTTTCGTCATCTCCATGAATCGGTTGAACTGGATCATCATTTCTTGGCTCCAGCTGGGATTGGGGACAGCCCAATCTTTACTCTTTTCTGATGTGACCAACCAAGCCTGAAAAACAGAAAGTGGACATTAGAACGTGGAACAAGAGGGTTGGAGGGGACCTTGGAGGTCTTCTAGTCCAACCCCCAACATTAGCCCAACATAGTATGTTAGTAAAATAACCGCAGAGGGGAAGACAAGGGGGCAGGGGAGGAATTTAAACTCAACCACTTCAAACATGCCTCAAATTTCTGAAGTTCACTTGCCCTGATCATATGGGGAAGAGGTATCTGTTTGGGTCACCCACCTTAGATTCCTTAGATTCTAGATTCCTAGAACTTAGATTAGATTAGGATTCCTAGAACTTAAGATTCCTAGGCTTAGATTCCTAGAACAAGGACGGGCAACTCCGGCCCCTTTATGACCTGTGGGCTCCAATTCCCAGAATTCCTGGAAGTTGAAATCTACAGGTTTTAAAGGGTCCAGAGGTGCTCATCCCTGGTTTAAAACAGGGTGGATTTGATTTAAACCAAGTCGGTTTAAATCACGATTTAAATCATGATTTAAATCACTAATAAAAAGGCTTGATTTAAATCAAACTCGATTTAAATCATAATTTTTAAAGAGCAACTGTCACCTCTGTCCCGAAGCGGCTCCTCCTGACCTGCTGTTGACTCGCCGAGAGTCCCAATATTGCACAATATACAGCCTCTTGTGACAGAATAAAGCTCCATTTCATGCCGAATAAACTAAATTATTAATATATCTTAAAGAAAACTCTCTTTAGATAGATTTTTTTTGCTCCAAAAGCATTTCATTAAAATAAATTTGATAAAAATAAAAGAAATCCGATTTAAACAAACAAACAAAAAACACTGATTTTTTTTTAAAAAAAATCATCGATTTTTATCCACCCTGGTTTAAAACCTGGCCACGATGCATGCAACAAGCTACAGCGTTTATCAGACAAAACCAGAGCCTGCATGAACACGGTGGCCGAAAATTAACCGCAAATCAAAGTTATTCCCCAAATTTACCTCCCCCCCCTCAAATATTCTCAGGGTGGGTTAGGAAAAAAGATGGACTGGCAATTCTTTTTTGATACTGACCGGTGAATTTCCTTGTAGCTTGTGGGAGAAACGCTGGGGGACCCCCGTGGGGGGGATTGTGCCCTGCGCCCTGTTTCTAGGGGTCACGAAGCAAGGAAGACCCCTCCGTAGCCTTGCCCAGTGCCTCAGCATGACTTGTGCAATTCAAAGGAGTCCACTTCCTCCAGGTACCCACGATGCAAGAGTGAAAAACGGCAGAACTCCACCTGTCAAAAGGATGCGAGTGACAGTTTAACTACAAATGTTCCAGATCCAGCTTTAATCTTGTCGCTAAACTTAAGTCTCCCCTCTTAACTTATTAGTGATTTGGTCTGTTGTGTGGATGTTTGGGTGGTTTTAGGGGTGGGGAATTTGTGGGGGGTGGGGGGTGTTTGGGGATTGTTATGCGTGTTGGACCTGGTCTTTGGGCGTTAAGTGAATTTCGTTATATGGGTATACTGTGTATACACGTATAATGACAATAATAATAATTATTATTATTGTTATTAATTATTATTATTATTATCTTTGTTCATTAAATAAGAAACTCAGTCAACTGAACATTTAAAAATGCATCACAAATACCATTGACTGGGGCTGATGGTTGATAGGGGTTGCTGCCAGCGTCCGTGGGATCAACCAAGCATCTTCTTAAGATGTACGATGTTCCAAGTAGCACAGTTTTTTGCAGTTCCGCTGGTGTTATTGCAGGAAGCTGCAATTTGCTGTTGTATGTTATAAAATTCTTGGACATGGTACCAAGTGCCCCGATGACAATGGGTATCACGGTTACATGTTTCATCCATAGCCGTGTAGTTTCGATGGCCAGGTCGCAATATTTCATGATTTTTCCCAGTTCTTTTTCTTCCACTCTGGCATCTCCTGGTACCACGATGTCAATAAATTGTATGTATCGGTTTTCGACAACTGTGATATCTGGCGTGTTGTGTTCCAAGTGACGATCCGTCCATATTCGAAAGTCCCACAAGATCTTCACCTTCTCGTTTTCTATAACTTTTTCCACTTTATGTTCCCATGACTTTTTGGATACAGCAAAGTCGTATTTTTTACATAACGATTAATAAAGTGGATTAATTTAGCAACTCAGCCCTGTCTAGCTTTGTAATCAGTTTGTGCGATTTTGCTGCATTCCCATATTAAATGTGAAACAGTTTTGACTTTGTGGTTGCAAAGTCGGCAGTTTGGATTGTCGGAGGATTTTTGTAGCTTTGCTTTCATGGCATTAGTTTGTAGTGCTTGCTCTTGAGCAGCCAGTATTAAACCTTCCGTTTCTTTCTTGATGGTTCCCATCTTAAGCCAGGCCCATGTAAAATGTGTCATCACAATTTATTATTTAATAAATTATTATTATTATTATTATTATAAATATTAATATTTAATTAAATCACATCTGGCCCCTTTAAGACCTGTGGACTTCAACTTCCAGGAACATATATACATACATACATGCACACACACATATATATACACACACACACATATATACATACACACATATACATACATATATACACACACACATATATATGCACACAAACACACACATACATATATATGTCCCGGTATAGTCAGCTGGTACAATCACTGACAATTGGGGATGAGATCTTGCTCCCCACAGAGAGGGCCTGCAACTTGGGTGTCCGCCTGGATTCACGGCTATCTTTAGAATAACATTTGACAGCCGTGGCCAGGGATGCCTTTTATCAGGTTCGCCTGATCCGCCAGTTGCGTCCCTTTCTGGACCGGGACTCCTTGCGTACGGTCACTCATGCCCAAGTTACCTCCCGTATGGACTACTGTAATGCTCTCTACATGGGGCTCCCCTTGAAAAGCACCCGGAGGCTCCAACTGCTCCAGAACGTAGCTGCGCGGGTGATTATGGGCGCAGCTCGTTACGCCCATGTAACACCTCTCCTACGCGAGCTGCACTGGCTCCCGGTGGTCTTCCGGGTGCGATTCAAGGTGTTAGTCATCACCTTTAAAGCGCTCCATGGCTTAGGACCTGGGTACCTACGAGACCGTCTTTTGCCACCAATAGCCTCCCACCGACCAGTTCGTTCTCACAGGGAGGGACTACTCAGGGTACCGTCAGTCAAATTATGCCGACTGGCGACTCCCAGGGGGAGGGCCTTCTCTGTGGGGGCTCCAACCCTTTGGAATGAACTGCCCCCGGAGATACGGAATATCCCTGATCTCCGTGCTTTCCGCCGTGCCCTCAAGACCCTGATGTTCCAACAGGCGGGGCTAAACATATGAACATGTGATTGTTTTAAAAATGTTATCTAATTTTAGGTTCTATTGAATTGACCAAACTAAGTAATAATTTTAATTAGCAATTTTATGATGTTTGTGTGTCTACATTTTTCTTGACTTTACACCGCCTTGAGTCCTACGGGAGAAAGGTGGTATAGAAATATAATAAATAAATAAATAAATAAATAAATAAATAAATAAATAAATAAATACACACACACATATATAGGCACACAAACACACACACATATATACACATACATATATATATATACACATACATACATACACATACATACATACATATACACACACACATATACATACATATATACATACATACATACATACATGTACACAAAGTTGGAAGGCTGGAACTTTTGAGGCCAAAGCAAGAAAATGGGGGTTATTTAAGTGACCCCCCCCCCCAGGATGAGAAGGGACCCCCCCTCCCCCATTGGGAAGCCCAGCAGGCCTACCTGGCAGGGCTGTCATTCCCCTCAGCCGCCGCCAGGAGTCCGTTGCCCAGCACGACCCCTTGCCCTTCCTCCCCGCGTGACCTCTGACCTGCGACCCTCGACCTCCCTCCCTCGCCCCCCCCCCCCCCGCGCGCGTGACCCACCTCCGTCCTCTCAGCCTCCGGAGGGCAGAATGAGCGCGAGGTGGCGCCGGGTCCTGACGTCACGCGAGGAGGGGGCGTGGCCACGCGCCGCGGCGTCCTTCTCTTCGTGGGCGGGGCTGCTGTCTCCGACGCATGCGCGCCGCGCTCTCTTCGCCTTCGGGCGCGGGGCGCGAGGCGCGGCGCATGCGCTCGCCCTCCCGTGGGGCGCTCTCGCGCGCCGAGGCGCTTTGAGGTAAGGAAATGTCTCCACGACTCATGGCGAAGGAGGTGATGGAGTCTTGTTGGCTCCCCGTGTCATTTTTGAAGCGATTTTTAATCCCCCTTTCCTACCCGGGCGTTCTTTGCCTCTGAGGGTCGAAGGCGAAGTATCCAATCAGGCGCTCTCCCGCCTCCTCCGTTCTTCTGAGATTCTTCTCTTGGATTGGGCTTTAGCAGTGCCAGTCCGGCCCAACAACGCGTCCAATCATATTTCACTTAGCGCCTCTCCTAAGCACTCCTCCCCTCCGATTGGATAAACCGAATGCCAATCTAGCGTGGCGTGACGAGCCACGCGCCAGCCTTGCAACATCAAGGATGCCTGACTCATGCGGGCGCTGACGTATGCGAGCGGCTTCTCTGATTGGCCAAGGGGAGTGTCAATCGCAACCTGGGTGGACCCTCCCTTTAGTGCTTTTTGCCCAAGCAGGGGCCCTTTGCACATGCTCAGGGGCCCCAAACCTTCATTTAAGACCTTTCTGGCGCTGGAGTGCTTTTGTGCAAGGGGCAAAAATCCCCCTTTTTCCCCAAGGGAATGGCATCCCCTGAGCATGTGCAGAGTTCCCCAAGGAAACCACCCTTCTTCCTTTTAAGCAGCTGGCAGCATCTTTCCTTGTGTCAGAAGGGCAGGAAGCCGCAGCCTTTGGCATCAAAAGGACTTGACTTTACAGCGGGCGGACAAAAACGTGACCAGAGGTTGCTGGCAGAGAAGAACCAGCATTAAATCATGGCTTAACGCCCGTCTGGAACTTTCCCCCATGAATCATGCAAAGGAAAAAATTAATACGAAGCTCATCTTGTGCCAAGAACATCGGCTCTGCTTGGGTTGCAGCCTCAAACAGGAAAACGGAGAGACCCCCACAGCTGGAAAGCAAGCCTCTTAGGGAACTGCCTCGGCCCATTTCCTGACCTGCTGGTTTTCTACATGCAAGGATTTTTTAAAAATAGTTGCAAAAATGGACAGGAAAAACACCTGGGCCAGTGACAGAAACCTCTTGGAAAAGAGATATTTCAACATATTAGATTAACAGAGTTGGAAGGGACCTTGTAAGTCCAAGCAGGAGACCCTACACCATTTCTGACAAATGGCAGTCTCCTTTACGGCTTGGGCCCTGCAACTGGAAAGGAAGCCTCTCGGGGAGCTGCCTCGCCCCAATTCCTGACCTGCTGATTTTCTACATGCAAGGATTTTTTAAAAACAGTCTCAAAGCTGGACAGGAAAAACACGTTAACTTAATGATAGAAATACTTCCAAACAGAAGGATGTCTCCTTTACAACTTTTACATCTCTACTGTGCATACCAACCAGGGAATTCTGGGAGTTGAAGTCTGAAAATTGCTGAAACATTGTTTTAAACCAGGGGTCTGCAACCTTAAACACTCAAAGAGTCATTTGGACCCATTTCCCACAGAAAAGAAAACACCAGGAACCACAAAACCCTTCCCGTGCCTAGCATATGTCGTTGAATTAAATGTTCTGTTTTCTTCTGAAACTTTTCTTTTCTTGGATTTATCCATGGTTGACCTACTGGGGGTTGAAAAGCTCAATACATGGCGTGCCGGCGATGTACTTTGCAAAGTATCCTCAAACCACACAACCAAGGAATATATTTTTTTTTTACCCTTCGGGCACGAAACAGCAGATGGTAAATGTCACGATTTTGTGATGTGATGAAAGGATGGGAGAACCATTTCCATCCCCGTTCAAATCGGAAGTGGGTTTTCGGATTGCAAGGAATAAAAAGGCAAAACGAAAAGATTTTAGAAAGCCCCTCGGTGGTTATTTGTTGGTTGTATTTCAAAGTCCCTTCTTCCCCATCTGGAAATGTTTGCAAAGCCCAGCAAATAAGAATGACTGGTTTTGCCATGTCCAATTTCTATCGCCTTGGCAACCTTAAGTATTTTTGGCTTAAACCCCAAGGGCAGGAAACATACAGAGGGATGAATCACCCCAACCCACAACCAGAAAACCGTCCTCCCCTCTTTCAAAAGCTTGCCTAGGCTTGTCAAAATCACAATTGTGGTTTTGCATGTTGCTCCAGAGAATGGCTTTACAATCTCCCTAGACTAGAAAATACCGCGTTTCATATTGGGCAAAACTCTCCCCTTCGGCTGCCTGCAAATATTTTCATTTTTAAAGCCTCCCAGGGTTGTTACGGAGCTGGGCAGTCTTGACTTTGAGACCATCAATCAATCAAAAAAGAAGAAAAATCCTGCCCTCAGACCGTAACAGGAAGGAAAACAGCCGAAGGTTTTCTAATATTATTCTACTAGCTCAAATATTGCAGATGAAAACAGAGCATGGGGGTTCGTTTCCTAAGCCATTTATTATCCCATTGAAAAATAAACTCCCATTTATTTGAAAAGTTTCTCTGCTGCCCTGTTAAAAGGAAACCCATCTTGCAATCAAAATGGTTCTGATTGGATTCAGGCACTTTTCTTAAAATTATTTTGTCAGAGTAAAGGAGCCTCTGTTTCCCTCCCACGTCGTTGATTCGCTCATCCGTGCTTTGAAACTATCTAGGATGAGACATACAATCAGGGTTTGATGCCAGGCGTTGTTAAAATCTTTGGAGCCTGGCCAGACCGTCTTTCTGGAAAGATTTTGCAAACATTTACAGCTATTCCTCGACTTAAACGACCACAATGGAGTCTCCCCGTTATGGCCGAAAGTCGTGATGGAGCGGGAGTTTGGACCTGGGTCCTAAATACCTATTGGGGACGGTTGATTGCAACTTTGAACGGCTGTTAAGCGACCGTCGTAAATCAAGGACTTTTATCATATTTTATTTATATATTAAATTATTGTATTCTATTCCAATTTCATTTTAAACTATTTTATCCAATTCCATTTTAAATTGTTTTTATCAGATCAACAACAACAACAATAATAATAGAATAGACCAGGCCAGTACAAAACAAGAGATTTATTTTTGAGCCTAGGACACAGCATAAGGGCAAACCGAAGCGTATTTCCTGGTTGAAACCAGGTGGTTTTCGTGTTGTTTTTCACAATTTGGTTAAGGGTTAGTTTCTCCTGGATGTTGTCAGCTCGGGTGGTTAGGCCTGGGACAACGTGTGCCGCTTCTAAGCAGAATGGACTGGCTTTGGATGGGGAAGCAGGCGGGTGAGGGTGCAGCGGGCACCATTGAAGCTTTCCCTGGGCCAAAACGCGCCATCAGTGCTTGGGAAGAGCCAGCTGAGTCTGCCCTGTTCAGAACTTCTTCCCCGTCGGCTTCATTTTCTTGATGTAATACTCGTTGCAGCCGTTGGTCAACCCGGCAAAGAGGGACAGGTAGCCTTCGAAGCTGATTTTGCCGTCCCGGCATTCCTCCAGATTCTTCATGATCCGGTCGATAGCCATGGGGTCCTTCTGGTTCTAGATTTGGGTTTGAAAAAAAGGAGAAGGAGGAGAAGAGGAGATGGTCACGACGGAGAAGGAGGAAGACAAGAGGACGGGGAGATGATCGTGATGGAGAAGGGGGATGAGATGGTTATATAGTTATGGGGAAGGAAGAGGAGACGGTGAAGAGTTTGAAGAGATGATCATGATGAAGGAGAAGGAGATGAGATGTAAGATGAGATGATCAGGATGAAGGTGATGAGGTTGAAGAGATGGCCATGATTTAGAAGGAAATGAGGATGAGGTGTTGGTGAAGAAAGAAGATGGGATGATTATGATGGAGGAGGAGATGAGATTGAGGAGATGGTCGCGAGAAGGAGATGAGATGATCATGATAGAAAAGGAGGATTGAATGGTTATGAAGAAGATGAGGTTGAGATGAGCATGGTGGTGGAGAAGAGAAGATGACGATCACGATAGAGGAGATGATGAGGATATGTGAGGATCAAGATCGGAGGAGGAGATGTTGAGATGACCACGAAGGGGAAGAGATGACGATCATGGTGGAGATTGATGAGAAGGACAAGATAAGATGATCAGGATGGAGAACACAATGAGAAGGAAGATTAAAAGTTTATCACAATACAAGAAAGGATGAGAAAGAGAAGAGAAGGAGATGATTATGATGGAGAAGACGATGAGAAGGACGAAGATTATCACAACGATGGTGAAAACAACAAGGAGAGAGTTATAATGGAGGACAAGAAGGAGAGAAAGGAGAAGAAAGGGGTGTCCATTTCACAGGGGCGATTCTCTCCCAGAGACGATTCTTTGGAGGACCCCACCCCACCCCACCCCTTCTCTTCACTCACCTCCATGTACCCCGGGACCTCTTTTTCCATCAGCACCCGGAGGTCCTCCTTGGTTAGGTAGTTCTTGTCGCCAGCAAATTTGTGGAAGGTGAACATGACGGTCTCCATGGCGTGCTCCAGCTGGGAGGGCATCTTGGCAGGTATCTCAAGGAGGCAGACCGAGTCTAAGGAAGGAAAGAAAGAAAAAGAAAGAAAGGAGAGAGAAAAAAGAAAGAAGAGAGTTAAGAAAGAAAGAGGCAAGAAAAAAAAGAAAAGAGGCAAGAAAGAAAGGCAAGAAAAGAAAGAGAAAGGGAATGAAAAAGAAATGAGGCAAGAAAGAAAGAAAAAGGAGAGAGAAAGAAAGAAGAGAGGCAAAGAAAAAGAGGGAAAGGAAAGAAAGGAAAGAAAAAAAAGATAGGCAAGAAAGAAAAAAAAGAAGAAAAAAGGAAAGAGGGAAAGAAAAAAGGAAAGTGAGAGAAGAAAGGGAAAGAAAAGAAAAGAGGAAAAGAAAGAAGTGAGGGAAAAAAGGGAAAGAAAGAAAAGAAAGAGAGGCAAAGAAAGAAAAAGAGGAAAAAAAGGAAAGAAAAAGAAACAAAAAGAAAAGAAAAAGTGAGTTATTCCTCCCATTCATCAAATCCCAGAAGGGCTGGAGAAGCTTGCCCATCAATGACCCAAACCACGTTGGGAATTTTAGAACAATAGTGTTCAACTTAACAACCATTTGGGGTTTAGCCACCATTGGAAGTTGCAACGGCAATGGGAAAAAGTAACTTACAACCAGTACTCACAACCGGCAATTTGGCAAACGGCATGTATTTGCAACCGGTTGTAGCATTCCAGGGATTGCACGATCCCATTTGTGACCTTCCCAGCAGGCTTCCAATAATCAATAACGGGGGGAAAAGGGTTTCGTTTAACACCCATGTGATGCACTGAACTGCAGTGACCTGCTGTTAACTACTGTGATTAAAATAAAGGCCATAAAATCAGGCTCATTTCACGCTTTGCTCAGCCACGTAAATTCAGATCCCAAACATGGCCGTAAATCGAGGATTACCTTTACGGATCCTTGGCTCAGATCCTTATCTGGAGCAAAAATGATCGACCGGCATGACATCATTAAAAAAAAAAAAATTCATATATTTCAACTGCCAGAGAGTGGGGTTATCGCGCAAACTGTCTGAAGAAATGCGGGTCACAAATTTTGCCATTAAAACCCTCTTTTGTATCATCTAAATCTGTTCGAATCAATCACCGGAAGATTTCAAGGAGACACTGGACAGCCACCTGTCAGAAATGGTTCAGAACCTCCTGCTCGAGCAGGGGGTTGGGCTAGATGACCTCCGAGGTCCCTTCCAGACAGGAGAAAGTCCAACCTTTACGCTACACAAGTCTCATTCTGACCCTGCCCGGTGTGATAAAGGCCATCTGCTGTAGCTCACACAAACACACACCCCACAATCGGATGACTAATTGCAAACACACGTCTCTCGTCCCCTCGGGAGGCTGATCCACGCGGAAAGGAATGAGCAGAGTACAAGCCTTGGTTGAAGATTACCTCGGCGGATCTTTCTCGCGGTGACTCACCGCTTGCAAGTAATGCTCCTAAGAATTTAGGACTCGCCTTTCTGCTTTAAGGAAAGGCCCGGTGGAACCCCACGCCTTGCCTGCTATCACCATTGCAAAGCGGAATTCGGGGCCTTCGCGCCTAATACTGGGGGGAAATAGAATGGGAAAAGGAGGTTTTATTTAGAAAGGAAGAAAGAAAAAGAAAAGGAGGAAGGGAGGAAGAAAGGAAATAAAAAAGGAAGGAATGGAAAGAAATGGAAATGAAAGAAGGAAGGAAAAGGTAGGAAGAAAAAGGAAAGAAAGGAAAGAGGAGGAAGGAAGAAAAGAAGGAAGAAGGAAGGAAGAAAGAAAAAAGGAAAGGAAGGAAAGGAGGAAGGAAGGAAGAAAAAGGACAGAAAGAAGGAAAAGAGAAGGAAGGAAGAAAAAAGAAGGAAGAGAAAAAAAGGAAGGAAGGAAAGGAGGAAGGAAAAAGAAAAAGGAAGAAAAAAGGAAAGAACAGAAAGAAGGAAAAGAGAAGGAAGGAAAAGAAGGGGAAAAAAGGAAGGAAAGAAAAAAGAAAAATCCAGAGATTTCTGCCTTGGGGCCAATTAGAAATTGAATGTGGTCAATTTTGGGGAAAAAATACTTCGACCTCCCACAGCAAGGCGAAATTAAACTGGGCGCCTTGGTTAGAGGTGAATTTCATTGCCATATGGCTTTATTTTTATTTGCAAAGACCGGATGCTTTTCTCTGTCTCTCCATTGAATGTTTCTTAGAAAGGTTGATTATTTTGAACGTTGTGATACACTGTGACCCTGAATGCTTTGCACTGTATCCGCTTGATTTGGCCTTCGACACATTGTTGTTTTGCAGGTTGTTAAAACCGCCCCCTCCCCCTCCAGTGTTTGCAAAACCACAGCCAGGCGGGGGTTGCACCGGAGAGCTTTTAGGGGGTCAAATCCCATCACTTCGGCTTTAAACCGGGGTGGAAACTTTTTCGCTCAAGACTTTCGCTATCCCAGGGCAGCAAACGGGACCCAGTTTAGTCCCGCAGTCGGAAACAATCTCCTTGCAAAACCAGATCGTCTCCGAACAGAATTGCGGTGCCCAGTTTCTCCCCTTGCAAGAACTGCATTTTTCCTCCATCCACCCACTCCTGCAAAATTTCTCCAGCTTCTTGCTGCACAGAAAGCTGCAGAATCACCCTGAGATTAAAATTGTGTTGTTGTTTTTTTGTGTGTGTTTTGCAGCCTGGCACCCTCACACCGAGGGGACGCAACGGAGCTTCGCCGCAGTGACCCAACGGCTGATTTACTCCCGGTTGTTCCTTCCAGAGGGGCGTTCCTAGAAGCTGGCTTTGAAAGGGTGCAGAGGTAGAAGTCCCCTCCTCGTCGGTTGCAATGAGTAAGCAAAGCATTAGTGATTTGGGCATTATGCCCACCGTCCCCGCCTTTGCTGCAATCCCAGCAGTATTTTCCTGCCAGCCGTGCATGGGTGTGTCCCTGACTCCGTTAGTATTTTTCAGCCCTCGGAACTGCAGTTGAACTCAAGTCTTTTGAGCCGAAAGGAGGGAAAAAATAAGAATAGTATATACAGCTCACAAAGAAATCCATTTCACAACGGAGATATAAAAAAGCAGAAGAAATCCGTTGGCTTTTTTTTTCTTTCTTCTTTTTTTTAGTTCCCCTCCTGTACATTTCTCGCTGCGGAACGTGGTTGGCCCTAACCTTGCTCTCTTAGGGACTAGCAGTTTGGTTCTTTGAAATCTCTCCTCGTAAACGAACTTGGGGGATCATCCTTCCCTTGGTTTTGGAGATCCCTCTGGCTAAAGATCTTTTGATTAAACGAGGCCCACGTTAAAGCAGCTAAGCGGCAATCTTGACATCAGAAAAAAACAAATGTTTTCTGTGAAAAAAAATTAGCTACATATTGGTCGATATTTAAATAAGCTGGATATTGGTCGATATTTAAATAAGCTGGATATTGGTCAATATTTAAATAAGCAGGATATTGGTGAATATTTAAATAAGCTGGATATTGGTCGATATTTAAATTTGGAGGGAGCGTACATGCAATACATTCTTGTACGCTCCCTTCCTAAATTTAAATTCGTCTCTGGCCTAGTTCTATCTAAGAAACCTAACAGCCAGACTCTCCTGTTGGTTAAAACTGAGTTTTTTTTCCCTCCTCTTTTTATATCCCAGCAAATACTTCCATGCCCTTTTTCCAAAGCACAGCAGATCACTCTCTCCTGTCTCAGGTTGCTGCCTTAGGTGGTAGAGTGCTCTTAAAAACGTAGGCTCTCTCTCTCTCTCTAGCTCAGAGGTAGTAAACCTGTTGGTTTGGAAAGTCGCCTAAGTTAGCATTGCATCTTGCTGGGCCTAGGTAAGGTTTTACAGATTACAGATGAACCGAGTTGGAAGGGAACCTTGTAGGTCATCTAGTCCAACCCGCCATCCAAGCAATAGACCTTACACCCGTGATGGTGAATCTATGGCACGCGTGGCCACAGGTGGCACGCGGAGCCATATAGGTGGGCACACGAGCTCAGCTCCGGCACACATGTGCGTGCCAGCCAACTAATTTTCGAGCCTTTTGGGCCCACCGGAAGTCGGGAAACAGGCTGTTTCCGGCCTCCGGAGGGCCTCTGAGGGGATGGGGAAGACTGTTTTCGCCCTCCCCAGGTTCCTAGAAAAGCCTCTGGAGCCTGGGGAGGACGAAAAATGGACCTACCGGGCCCATCATGCCATCGTGTGCCAAAATCGGGGGGGGGCCTGCGGGATGCATAAATTATGGATGTAGGTGCGTGCGCGACCCCCCCCGCTCTCCCCGTTGGGAGTTGGGGGGTTTTCTGGAACGCTGACACACTGTCTTTGCTTGTTTTTTAAGCTCCTGAAAATTCACCGGGCCCCTTTTCTCCCGCCACTTTCTCCCCATCTCTTCTCACCCAGGGATTAAAATTACGCCTTGAAACTTTGCAAGAGGGAAAAAAAAAAAAGAGAGAAGGCAAAGAGGCTTAGCTCATTGTTTACATCTGTTGGGCGATGGTTTCTTTCTCCACCTCCTTCATAAACATCCACCCTATGGGATTGTAATGGAGTCTCTCTTTTGGCCACGAGTGATGGTTTTTCCGAGCTTTGGAGGCCTGGGTGTGGCTCTTTCCTACCCAGAAACTCCGAAGTCTGCCTTGCCAGACATGAATTCTAGCCAAGCCCTGGAGATGGAGACAGTGAGATTGCTAAACAGTCAGCAGGGAGGCCTTTGAGCTTTTCCAAGGACATCTTGCAAAGTCCCTCCATGGTGCACACAGAGAGAGAGAGAGACAGAAAGAGAGAGAGAGAGACAGAGACAGAGAGAGAGACAGAGATAGTGAGTGAGAAACAGTTTGTAAGAGAGAAACAGTGAGAGAACGAGAAACAGAGAAAGAAACAAAAAAACAGAGAGAGAAAGAAATGGAGGGAGGGAGGGAAGAAGAAAAACAATAGAGATAAAAAGGAAATATGGATAGATAGATAGATAGATTGATTTGCAAGCCAAGATTCCTATTTATTTACTTACTTACTTATTTACTTACTATTTGGATTTATATGCTGCCCTATCTCCAGAAGGACTCAGGGCAGCTCACAACAATAAAACACACAAAGTCCAATCCTTCCTTTAAAAATACCCAATAAAACTATAAAACCATAAAAATCCTCTCTAAAACCCCTTCAATCCAAGCCAATTTATGCTTATAAATTTATGCTTATAAACATACAAGCTATATGTATGCCCTATTTTTGCAAAAGTGACATGCCAGGGTTCAGGAGGCCGAGCCAGTTTTCCTCTGGGAAACTCACAAGCTGGATGGAGAGAAAGCAACCTTCCCTCTCTTGAGATTTCCCAGAAACTGGGAAGGTAGACTGCTCCCGAAGCTGGGGGCTCCCTTAACCGACGCAGCGTAATCACTTGGCTGGCCCGTGAGTTTCTTTCGGGATCGATTGGCTGAATAGAGGCAGTCAAGCAAACATCGAAGGAAATATTATAAATAAATAAATAGACGTGGAAAGGGATGGATGGGGCGGGCAAGTAAGATCAGTTTTTTTCCCCCCAAGTTTTGAATTATCTCAAGCCAGCGGCCTGCAAAACCGCTGCCGGGTTATTCTCTTTGGGTTGAATTGGGTGCTATTGATCCTAAAAGATTCCAAGATTACTTGTCAGTGATAAGACGCCCAGGTCCCTCCCTTGCTGAATAAACATTCTTAGCTTTTTGACATTTTCCTGCTGGAAGTCATGTATACTAACCAAGCATGCTAAATATTCTCCTTTATTGGCACCAACTGAGCTGTGGTAGTTTTTAGGGACTGTCCCATTTTCAAAGATCGGTTAGATTTGGTGCCCTTCTGACTTCTGCCCCAGGTTGATTGCCCCTCCCCTCCCCAAATCAGCCTTTGAAAGGACCTTAGAGGTCATTCAGTCTAACCCCCATACTAAGAAACTGTCAAAACTTAAAACCAGCATTTTTTTGGGGGGGGAATGGCTGTAGAAGGCGGGGTAAAATATAAGTTTATTTTTCTGTTTTCTACTTGTGTCTAGGGTGAGACAATATTAAGCCTACGGTGGGGTTTCCCCTAATGTGGTTAGGGAACTCATGGCCACTAGATGCTGCCATATAATCCATGAACTCGAATGGCTTCCCAAAGAGCAGGGGGTGGAAAGAAAATTCCTACATCGCCTCTGCCAAAGTTGGAGAATTCAGGGGTGCCTCCACGAATAGGTGCAGTCTACCTTACAGCCCCCAAACGGGGTGGGGGTGGGGAAGCCAGCTGCAATACCCCATTTGTGGCCTGTTCCCACACTTGGAACACGGGAGAAGGGCGGTATATAAATCTAACTACACCTAAACCTAAACATGGGGAAAGTAGCATCTTGATCTAGCTGGGCGTGGCATGCCAAAGTGGAACCTCCATACACAGAGGCAGTCTACCTCTAAGAATCCCCAAGGAAAAACCTGGAGATCGGATCGGGCAAGGCGTGGCCACCCCAGATGAAACCTCCATGCACAAAAGCAGTCTACCACTTAAGAACACCTCCCCCCCCCCCCCCCAAATGCATACTGCAGGCTGGCTCTGAGAAGCAACCCCAGCTTGCTTTAAGTCTGGATTTTGGGTGGAACCTTCGTACATAGAGGCAGTCTACCTTTTAAGAATCCCCCCCCAACACCCCCCCTGGAGACTGGATCTAGCAAGGCGTGGCAACCCCAAATAGAACCTCCATGCAGAGAGGCAGTCTACCTGCTAGCAACTCCCAAGGAAAGCTGGATCTAGCAAGGCGTGGCAAACCTCCACGCACAGATGCAGTCTACCTTTTGAGAACCCCCCCCCTTCAAAAAAAAACCCTGCAGGCTGGCTCTGACAGCTCGCTTTTAAGTCTGGAATTTGGGGCCTCTCAGCCCCCCCTCCCACCCCCACAGATGGAGGGGGGAGGAAACCACCCTTGCCAAAGAAAATGTGACTTTTCTTTCTGAAGTCTTCCAAGCCCCACCCAAACTGCGTTGTAAAATGGGGAGGGGGGAGGCAGGGCTGGGTGATCCCCAGATGGAGGGAGCCTCTCAGCTGACGATCTGGCCTTAAGCCATCTTATGTAGGTCAGGGCAAGTCAGAGGAGAGAAGGAAACTCCCTGCCCTTCACACGTTCAAACCTAGTTTCGCCCATGAATCTCGGGTTGTGCTGGCATCAATCTGCTGTTTCCTGCTTCTCTCTCCCTCCCCCCCCCCCCCCCCCCCCGAAAAAAGCTTTCCACTTGGCAGTTTTACCAGCCATCTCTGGGGTGAGCCCCCCCCCCTTCCTTCCATCAGATCACAGCAGAAACTTCAAAACCAGTCTCTTCCCCCCTCCCCACCGCCCCAGACATCTGGCATCCTTTCCCTTCCCACCCCCCCAAAAAAACCTCGCTAAGAATTTTGAAAAATTGGGGAAGCAGATTTTTTTTAAAAAAACCAGAACCTTAAAATCGTTGCAAGAAAGGAAGAAGTTTTGGAAGAAAAAGCAAAAGTTTTTTTTCAGCCCTCCCCCCCCCAAAACCCCTCCCCCCCCCCCCCCCCCCCCAACCCACTCCCCCCCCCCCCGCAAAAAAAAAAAGGGCAAGGGAATTTGAAGTCCTTTGCAACTTAAAAAAAATTGGAGCGACCCCAATTCCAGAGGAGAAAATTCACGCTTCTGCAATCCATAACGGGAGCCTCCGAAGCGCAGGGCGAAAACTTGGCGCTTTTGTGACCCCCTGAGGACTAGCACCTTGTCTACTGCACGCCACCTTTGCAGCTCAGGCAGAGCGCTCCCTCCCCAAATCTTTCCCCGGAGGGGGCGAAAAACTTAAAAAAAAAACTTTTTAAAGAGGCGAGGTGCCCAAGTTTCCGACCTTAACGCCTTTGCTAGTAAAAACAGCCGTCTCTGCAGGATTTCGCCTCGGGCTGTTGGCCCATGCATGGCGGGGTGGGGCGATGGAGGGGAGAGCATTCCGGCCTTGCCCAGTACAGGGTGGCACTCATCCCCCCCTCTCGCCTTTCCCTCCCCCCCAAAAAGAAAAGCGCCTCTCCAAAAAATGGAGAGACCACCCCAAATCCGTTGCCAGCGTTGGGCACAAAGCGGACCACCAACGGTGTTTCATCAGGACAACCGGGCACACGTACGCAGTGCCTACCGCCCCCCACCCTCCGGGGCCACACCCTGAGCCAGAAATGCGGCTTTTCCGAGCCCCAGCCCAGCTCCCCACTTCTCCCCCCAAAACCAGCCCAAAGTTCCTGCAAAAAGACGCAGAGATGATGGGGACCCCCTCTCTCCATTTCCCTTCCCTCTCCTCCCCACGGAGGGGGGAGGGGAAACACCCACCCCGCCCTGCCTTTTCAGGACCCAGAGGGGCGCAGTCAATTCTTTTTTGGGGGGGTAGGGGGCTCCCCGGGATAGCCCTGCGCCCCGCTTTTACGCGCGCCTCTGGCTTTTACGCGCGGCCCGTTACGCGCGGCGGAGAGAGAGAAAGACTCACCCGGGGAGAGAGAGAGAGAGCAGCCTGGAGCGACGGCTGGCAGAGGCAGAAGTGAGGCTGGCCGGCCACCGCCTCCGCAACTCTCGCTGGGCTGGGCTAGGGCTGGGCCGGGCCGGGGGCGGAGAAGCTGGACTCGCATCTGCAGACGCGCGGGAGAAACCCGATGTCTTGGAGATGCGCCAGAGAGAGCCGTGTCTAACTGGGCGTCGGTCGGACCCTTTCAAGAGACGCTCTTTCCTGGCCCAAGGGGCTTGGGTGGGCTGCCGAGTCTAAGTGACAAATGATTAAAACTAATTCCTAATTTTAATTTTTTAATTTAATTTTAATTTTTTTAAAAAAAATGAATGTAGATGTTGTAAAAATCTTCTCCAATGGGAATCCCTTCTGAGCGGGCCCTGGAACAGCTGAGCCTCTGCCCCAAACTTGGTGCTGAAGGATGGAGGGAGGGAGGGAGCCCAGGGTCATCTTGCCGCCAGCCCTGCGAGGTGGGCCCTGAAACAGGTGCTGGGCTGTATATATGAGGGGTTAATCGCCTCTTCTCCAAATGCCTTGAGAATGAGAGCCGTCTTTTATATACCTTGGATCTTGGTTTATCTTGCTTTGTTACAAGAACGTAAGTGTGACTCCAGATGCAAGTCCAGTTTAAATCAATCTCCCAACCTTGGCAGTTTTTAAGACGGGCGGACATTCCCCAGTCTGAAGGATTCTGGGAGTTGAAGTCCGCACAGCTTCAAGTTTGCTCAGGTTGCGAAACACCGATTGAAAACATGACTATGTTAGTCGGTTGTCATGATTGTTCATCAATATCCCAGATACGGCGAAGCAACACAAAACACCCAGTTTTGCTTCCTCAAATGATCTTTTGAGTTTTCTCTCCTTCCCCTTTTCTGTCCTCCGCTCCGCTCCCTCTTCGACCCCCTGGCAAACAACCAGGCCGCGAATGTTGGTAGAATCTGGGTTTCTTCTTAGGAAACAACAACCGGGTTTAAATCCTAAAACTTAAAAGGCTCCAAAGCAGACAGAGAGAGTGCTCTTAAACTGGGGTGCTTGAGAGAAAATTGAGGCCTCCTCAAGGCAAGACTTATTTATATAGGTAATCCTTGACCTACGACCACAATTGAGCCCAAAATCTCCGTTGCTACGCGAGACAGTCGTTAAGTGAATTTTGCCCCATTTTACGGCCTGCCTTGTCACTGTTGCTAAGTGAATCACTGCCATTGTTAAGTTGGTCACATGGTTAAGTCAGTCTGGCTTCCATTGACTTGGCTTGTTGGAAGGTCGCAAAAGGGGGGGTCACATGGGCACTGCGGTTGTCATAAATATGAGTCTGAATTTTGATCACGTGCTGCAGTGGTCATAAGTGTGAAAAACCGTCATCAGTCACATTTTCAGTGCCATTGTAACTTTGAATGGTCACTAAATGAACTCTTGTAAATTGAGGACCACCTGTATCTACATCTACATATCGGTATCTGGTTTTATGTTATGAGGATATATATATCAGATAGATAAATAGATAGATGATAGACAGATAAACAGATAGATGATAGATACATCTATCTGATGATAGATAGATAGATAGATAGATAGATAGATAGATAGATAGATAGATGATGGATAGATAGATAGATAGATAGATGATATAAATAGAGATAGCGATAACGATAGATAGAGATAGATGATACAGATAGATGATAGATATAGATGTAGATAGATGATAGATGATATAGATAGAGATAGATGATAGATGATGATAGATAGAAATAGAGATAGATAGAGCTAGATGAGATAGATAGAGATAGCGATAACGATAGATAGAGATAGAGATAGATGATAGAGCTAGATAGATGATAGATATAGATGTAGATAGATGATAGATGATGATATAGAAATAAAGATAGATAGAGCTAGATGAGATAGATAGAGATAGATGATAGATGGTAGAGATAGATAGATAGAGATAGAGATAGATGATAGAGATAGATGATCGATGATCCGATGATAGATATAGATAGATAGATATAGATGATACAGATACAGATAGATAGATAGATAGATATGATAGAGAGATGATAGATGATATAGATTGATACAGAGATAGAGAAATACAGATAGATAGATAGATAGATAGATAGATAGATAGATAGATAGATAGATATTTACAGACATTTCTAAAATTCTGTTTTCCCTTTGTCATTATGGGATACTGAGTGTAGATCAATGAGAAAAAAAAATTGCATTTCAACAACTGTAGAATCAGGCGGCAGCATAACAGAATTTACCAAAGCGCCTAAGGGGCTCTGAATAGTTTCTGAATGCCCTGTATATGTTTATTAATGTGTGTGTATAAATTGGAATTGACATAAAGGGAAAAGAGAGGAGTGGTGGTGGTGGGGATCAAACAAATCTCCTCAGCCCAACCAAGAGCTACAATTATCCTGCATTCTTTGGGTTTTTTTCCCCCCTAACTTTTCCTGCCCTGCCCACCTGTTTTTCCTCCTCCGCATTCCTGAATTCCATCCGCTAGATGCAAACTCACGTGTTATTCTGGGCGGCTTCATCCCTATTGTTGCTTGCAAACACACAACACACCCCCTGCTCAGACATTTAAGGGAGGGTGGCGGGGGGAGGCATTTTTACAGGGTGCAGGGTCAGGAAATTATGCAGTCTCGGTAGGAAAAAAAAATCAACAACAGCTTGCCTTCAGAACAAGAAGCGGCAGAACGGATGGAAACTATTCAAGGAGAGAAGCAATTTGGAATTGAAGAGAAATTTCCTAACAAGGAGGACAATTAACCAGTGGAACCGCTTGCCACCAGAAGTTGTGGATGCTCAATCACTGGAGGTTTTTTAGGAAGAGACTGGCCACAGATTGCTGACCGTTGGACCTCCAAGGTCCCTTCCAATTCAATTCTATTGAGCAAAACGCTCCTAGTAACTTTGGAGAAAAATCCATCATCCTATCTTTCTGTTTTCTGGCTCCTGATCTCTTGCCAAGGTGATCCCCACTTCTTAATATTACAATCAGCCCGAAAGCGTTTTTCCTTTTCCGTTTTATAGGACGTTGGTTGGTTTAATTTGCCGCCCCGAGTCAAATAAATCGGATAATAAAAGAAAACCACTTTGATTCGCTTAACAAACATTGGCAAGAAAGGTCACCCAACGGGGCAAAACTCATTGAAGAAGCGTCTCGTTTAGCAACGGATATGTCGGCCTCAAATTGTGGTTGTAAGTCGAGGAGTACCTGTTGAGACCACCTCAGGAGAACAAAGAGAGGAAGGGAAAAAAAAAAAAGAGGAAAAACTTGCTTGGGCTTGTTTGGCAGGCTTTTCAAGAGATCTTGTAGCTGCCTAGTTATCGCAGTTCACAAAACTTTTCAGGAACGGCACTTGAAAAATGGCCAATATTCAAATTTTTCACCTTGCAAACCCCCGATGCTCGCAATCAACTAAGATGGATAAAAAATTGATTTATTTACCTGGATCGTTGAGCGCTTGTATTTTTTACAGTACTTTATTTTGCATTGTCTATACAGGTCCGTTCTCGACTTTAAATGGCAGCAATTGAAGCCGACATTTCGGTTGCTAAGCAAGATGGTCGTTAAGTGAGTTTTTGCCCCATTTTACGACCTGGCTTGCCACAGTCGTCGAGTGAAATCGCTGCAGTCGTTAAGTGAGTCACACGGTCGTTTAAGTGAATCCGGCTTCCCTGTTGACTTGGCATGTCAGAAGGTCGCAAAAAGGGGATCACGTCACACAGTGGTGAAATCTGAACTGGTTTACTACTGGTTCACTCACAGTGCGCAGCACGCACCAAATGCGAGGTGTGCACGCACAGTGCATGCCAAAAGGAGGCATGTGGTAAGTAGAACAGCGCATGAGAGGGGGAGGGGTGATCAGCTGTAGCGTGCAATCATTTTTTTTTCTTTTAAAAGCATTGCTTTCAAAAGTTAAAAAAAAGCCTCTGACGATCACGCTGCTCAGCTGTGATCGTCAGAGGCTTTTTTAAAATCTTTTAAAAGCATTTTTTTCTACAACCCAAAAAAATGCTTTTAAAAGCCTCTGACGATCAGGCAACTCAGCTGGGATCGTCAGAGGCTTTTAAAAGCATTTTTTTACAACCTCTTCGGCCGATTTAGATTAGCTAGAAAGCAGGAAATCCGACCATTCTAGCTAATATAAATCGCGCCTGACAGCTGATCGTCGGAAATACCAGTTTGCCCGAACCAGAAGCATTTTTTACTAGCAGTTCGGGAGAACCGGTCTGAACCGGTAGCATTTCACCCCTGGATAGGACCACATGGTTTGAGGTCCTGGTGGGTGGGGGGAAGGAAGAGATGCTGAGAGTGCCCCGGTTTTATGCCCTCTCTTGGCTTTTGAATTTGAGCTTGTATTCTGATTGGCTGTCAGACTCCCACGGGGCCATGCAGGGGCAACTCTGTAGGCTGTCCTGAGTCCCAAGCTTGGTTGACTCTTGCTGGGTGATGATGTAATGAAAGGTAGATCTTTGTTATGTAGACTAGACTGGCCCAGGCCTTAATGGCCCATTGACAAAGGGTGTGTGTGAGTTTTTGGCTCCCTTTTAGGGAAAATATTCTGCGCTTTTAATATTTCCTAAAATATTTCATTTTCCTAGGAGAGGGGTGGGTGCTAACTTCCTACATACGGTTGCCAGAGCAGGTGATAATATTTGAGGCACAGCAGTAGAGGAAGACTACAAGAGGAGGGAAGAGGAAAGAAAAACAAAAAACAAAGGCAGACACCCATCTCAAGATTGGGTTTTTTATATGTGTCTGTGTGTGTGTAATCCCAGCGGGTTCTATGACTCAGGGAGAAGTGTGTGATGCAAACAGCTTGACTAATTTGTGCGATGTGCCAAGGTTGAGTTGTGCAATGGAGATTTCGCATCGGCAGCAGGGGCCTTAAACCATGTTGCCTTGGAAGGCAAATATTTGTGGATTTTTCCTCTGCTGGGTGGATCTAGAATCACCTCCCTGCACCTGTCACTCCATGAACCAAATTAGGTGCAGTCTCACCTGGTATAGCCCCCCCTTTTTTTTCTGGGAGGGCTGTACCACTGTGGGAACTCTGAGCCCAAGGGAAGCCCGTCCGAATGCCCTTTGCCCCCCAGAAGGATGAGAAAAATCCAGGAGACAGGAAGAAGCAGTGGGAAAAAGGTTGAATATTTCTTTCCAGCACGAATGGGCCATCGGAAAGGAAGCGAGACCAAAAAATAAATAAATGAAAAATTGCAATCAAAGCTCAGGAATGTGTAGTGGGTAAAAAATGGGACATCATGACATCCGGGAGGGTGGGCCGAGCCTCCTGCAGCCACCGCTACCGTTTCGCCCGAACCGGATAGAACCGGCTGAATACCACCACTGGGGTAGTTGTATAAACACGGGCAAGGGCTTCTCAACCTCGGTGACTCAAAGATGGGTAGACTTCAACTCCCAGGATTCCCCAGCTGGTGTGGAATTCTGGGAGTTGAAGTCCGCCCATCTTCAAGTGGCTGTGGTTGAGAAACAGCTTTAAATAGGTTTCATTTGATTTCAGCTTGTGGCAGGTTGGTGCCGATTAAGAGGAGGAGGGGGAGGAGGAAGAGGAGAGGGAGGAAGAGGAGGCAGGAAGAGGGGAAGGAAGAGGAGGAAGAGTGGGAGGAAGAGGAGGAGGGGAGGGGGAGGGGGAGGAAGAGGAAGAAGGGGAGGAAGGGGAGGGGAGGAGGAGGAAGAGGAAAAGGAGGAAGGAGGAGGAAGAAGAGGACAGGGAGGAAGAGGAGGAGGAGGAGGAGGAAGGAGGAGGGGGAGGGGGAGGAACTACAAAGCACCTGATTTTTGCAAATACCAACTCTTGGTGACACAGCCATTATTCACCGCTCGTGACCAATAGCTGAAACGGAATTCTTGGTACAAAGAATGTTGGAGATCCGGTTATGTATCTGGGTGTGTTTTGCCAGAGTTCAAAATGCATGTTGGAGGACATAAATTATAGATATTTTATATATGGGTACTGCCCTCTAGTGGTTCAACCTGGTACGGCCCATTTAGGAAAGGTGCACATTACATTTTTTAACACCGGTTTTGCAGAGTGTACAGATAAAAAAAAAAAAAAGACTCAGGGTGGCTCACAATACATTTAAAAAAATAATTATTAAAAAAAAACATTATAAGTCGAGGACTACTTGTACAGTATTTAGAAAAGATTTCCTGCTGGAAAATATGTCTGACTCTCCTTTAGCGTCAACCCAACCAGCGGAGGAGTTTACATCGTGTGAGGTGTCCCTTCAGACAGGGTCAAATAAATCTATACCGTTACCTTGAGGTAAGTTAGATAAAGGTAAGATTTACAAATAGGTAATAAATAAATCAAATAAAATCCAGTCCGGCTAGACGTCTTAAAGGCCTGATCGTCTGTTCGTACCCTGTCCTGCCAGATAGAATGCTACCTGCCGTGTTGCCTGCTCCTTCCCCAAACACAGAGGACTAGCAGCTTTATTTTTAAAACCCAAATTGTTTCGGAGTCGGGGTTCAGATGTCTCGATTCCTTTTCAACCAAGGCTAACTTTCCCAGTCCTGCAAATATGTGACTCCGTGTGATCAACGCAGCTCTCCGCTCCTATGTGCACGGACAAACCAGGAATCTGCTTTTAATTCTCGATTTTATTCAAATTTTAACAAGGGAAACAGAAAGAGTAAAGGATGTTGTACACACCCTTCCCTGATTTTGGAATGCTTTGGATGACAAGGTTTGAAATCGCTCGGATGCCTTCACAGTCTTTTGTGGGGCTCGGGGGCAGATGCCATGTGTTCATGGCAGGCCGTGGCCAAGCCTCCGATGAGGTTCAAGAACTCAGGAAAGTCCAGCTGCCCGTCATTATTCATGTCCAGCTTTTTCATCATACGGTCGACGACGCCCGGATCTTTCTGGCTCTGCAAAGGATCAAAAAAAAGATCATAGGAGACCAGTTTTTTGGAACCTCCCAGAATGAATTTCTTGAGGGATAATGGGTCAAAAATCTCGTCAGACCACGCCTGGAATCCTGCGTTCAGTTTTGGTCACAATTCCAAAAAAGAGGTTGAGACTTTGGAAAAAGTGTAGAGAAGAGCTAACTAGGAGGATGAAAGGCCTGGAGAAACATAGGAAGAACGGTTGCAGGAATTGGATATGGCCAGTCTAGTGAAAAGAAGGACTAGGTGGGACATGAGAGCAGTCTTCCAGTATTTGAGGGGTGCCCTAAAGAAGAGGGGGTCAATTTATTTTCCAAAGGACCTGAAGGCAAGACAGGAAACGATGGATGCTAATCAAGGCGAGAATCAACCTTGAACTAAGGAGAAACTTCCTAACAGTGAAAACAATTAACCTGTGGAACTGCTTGCCACTAGAAGTTGTGGGTGATCCAACACCGTTTTCATCCTCCCCAGGCTCCAAGAAAGCCTCTGATTGAACCTTCCTTCGCCTTGTTCCCATAACAGTGAAAAACATCGAACTAGGCCTCGGTGCCTATCCCGGGGTTGCAATTCTACATCCCCACCACCGGGGGGAGCCCATACCCCACAAAGTAGGATTCCTAAACTGAATCCTTGGGAAAGAAAAGGTTTCCCAAGTATATCGAAGAGAGACATAAACCGTAAAACATACCTTGGTGAAAGAGGCCAGCTCCGTGTCCATGAATGTTTTGAATTCTCTTTTGGAGAGAGTACTGCTCTTTCCGTCCTTCCCAGCATAGCGCTGAAAGACGGCCAGCAGCGACTCGATGCAACGCTCGGTTTCGGTGGGACCCACGGGGTACCTGGACGACTGCGGAAGTGAACAAGTTGCATTTTTTAAAATGTGCCCCTTTCACTTCGGGTTATCGCAACGACGCACGCTTCACTCAAAGAAGCATCTTATTTCCAACAGGAGCCCGAAGGGAGAGGAGAGGCAAGGGCTTGCCTCAAATGATATCAACTAATGTACCGGTGGAATAATTTGCCTCCAGAAGTTGTGGATGCTCCGACTAACTATCGAAGACACGAATTGCCGGCAAATTGTTAATTCTCAGTGGTGCGTTTTGCAAATTTAAAGAATAGGCGGGGAATAAGTGCTATGTTAAACCCATTAGCTGCATTTTGTGAGCCTAGAACAGTATTTTTCAACTTTGGCCTTTGGAAGAGGGGTGGATTTCAACTCCCAGAATTCCCAGAATTCCCCAGTATCTGAGAGATTCTGGGAATTGAAGTCCACCCCTCTCTCCCAATGCCCAAGGTTGAGAAATGCCGGCCTTAGAACATGGATTAATTTCAGAGCTAATGAAGTTTGCCTGCCTGCCCCCTGCCGGAGTTGCTTTTAAATTTTAAGAGGGTCTTTCAAATAAATTGACCCCCAAGTGTGGAAATTCAGGATAGGCCCAGGAGAGGAGAGGCACTCCCATTAATATCCCAACAGCCAATTCAATGAGGGCACTCTGCCCATACCCAGAGGCTGTTCTTTCATTTGCAGATCAAAACTTGCTCGTTTGCCCCCTAGCGGCCTCGGCTGGAACTTGGTTTTTGCTTGCAACGACAAAACTGTCCAACAGGAAAGACGTCAATTCTTGGCTCGAGAAAGAGAGAGGGCTCTGGTTTTTTTTTTTTTTTTTTAAAGATATAACGTATTTGGCAATGTGCGCACACAGACACACAACTTGGCAATTTCGGAGGAGAGCCACTCATCAATTTGGCCCTGCCCTTGCAACATAAACTCCTGGGAACCAAAAGCCGCAGAACAAACTTACATTCTTCTCCAATCTTTCTCCCGGCCCCAGTAACTGCTTAGTTGCATTCACACAACACTTCCTGGTTACTGAATGAACCATCTTTGTGGATTCACCCAAGATGTTTGGTGTTACACTTCGAGTGTACACAGATAGAGGTGCTCCATCACTGGAGATTTTAAAGAACAGATCGAACCATCATTCATCTGACATGAAACAGGGTCTCTTGCTCGAGCAGGGGGTTGGACTAGAAGACCTCCAAGGTCCCTTCCAACTCTGTTATTTTGTTAGCCCATCGGTACCCCACGCACACACAGACAAACTTACAACAAACTCAAATTAGATGAGTAAACGGTAGATAAGCCCCCATCCAGGTTTTAACCTGGTCGAATTCAGCATAGGGTGAATTTCCTTCTTTTTAAAATACTAACAAATAACATCCAGCGTAGTTCACCAATATATTTTGCATACAAGAATGTGTAACTCAAGATTTGGGGTGTGTCTTGGTATAACTCTTCTTGCCTAGTCCTTTGTTCTGTTCTCCTTCTGCACCAGTAAGCGTTTTCTCCTACTACTACTCCTTACAAGCTGACTTTGTGAAAAATCAGCCAAGAAGATTATTTTGAGATCTTTTTTTTTCTATGGCTGATAGTTACCAATCGAACCACTCCCCAAAGTGCAGGAATGGTGATTTTTTTTTTTTTTTTGCAATCCGCACTTAGCAACGATATAACAAGAGACCTGGAGTAGGGTCTCTAGAGGGTCTCTAGGTAGAAATCCTCCCCCCAGGATTGTAGGGGAAGGCAATTAAGCTGTAAGACCCCACCTCTCTCTAATTCCTGCCTGGCCCACAGCTCAAACTAAAGAGCTACTTTTCTCCTTGGCAGTGTTTGTAGGCCTCGAACCCTCGTGCGGCAGACCGAAGTCCAACCGGTTAACAATCTGACTTCTGCCTAAGTCTTCCCCTGTTGAACTTCGCTCCCTTGGAAATTTTTTGCAGAAGGAACCCTGAGCCATTCTGGAATTCGAGAAAGCTTGTCCCCCGGTGCAGCCACACCCTTTCCCGCTAAAACAAAACGGAAAACCACAACCCAAAATGACTTGACCGCCCGCTACACTCTGCTCCTCTGACCTTGCAGGAAAGGCAAAACCAAATTTTCTATCCTTGGGCGAGGGGGATATACATACATATATATTCTGGTGAAAAACTCACATCCTCGGTGGCATGGACACCGACCACGTTTTGAAACACAGAGATGTAGGGAGGGAGGGAGAGAGAGAGAGAGAGAAAAGAATAGATTGAGACAAAAGAAAGAGACAGGGAGAGAAAGAGAGAGAGTCAAAGAGAAAAGGATAGGCAGAGACAAAAGAGATAGAGAGACAGGGACAAATAGAGAGACAGAGAGAGAGAAAGAGAAAGAGAGAGTAAAAGAAAAGGATAGGCAGAGACGAAAGAGAGAGAGTCAAAGAGAAAAGGATAGGCAGAGACAAAAGAGATAGACAGGGACAAATAGAGAGACAGAGAGAGAGAAAGAGAAAGAGAGAGTAAAAGAAAAGGATAGGCAGAGACAAGAGAGAGAGAGTCAAAGAGAAAAGGATAGACAGAGACAAAAGAGAGAGAGAGACAAACAGAGAGTCAAAGAGAAAAGGATAGGCAGAGACGAGAGAGAGAGACAGAGACAGAAAGAGAGAGAGAGTCAAAGAGAAAAGGATAGGCTGAGACAAAAGAGAGACAGAGAAAAAGAGTCAAAGAGAAAAGGATAGACAGACAAAAGAAATAGGGAAACAGAGACAAATAGAGAGAGGGAGAGAGAGAGTCAAAGAGAAAAGGATAGGCAGAGACAAAAGAGAGAGACCGAGACAAATAGAGAGGAAGAGAGAGAGAGTCAAAGAAAAGGATAGGCAGAAGAGAGAGAGACAGAAAGAGAGAGACAGAGAGAGACAAAGAGAGAGAGAGAGACAGAAAGAGAGAGAGACAAAGAGAGAGAGAGAGACAGAAAGAGAGAGAGACAGAGAGACACAGAGAGACAAAGAGAGAGAGAGAGACAGAAAGAGAGAGAGAGAGAGAGAGAGAGAAGGGAGGTGGAGGTGGACGAGAGCCACGCCTTGGTGGCCTTCTCCGCTCTCCAGGCTGCTGGTGGAGGAATCCTAGCACTCCACTTCCCATCATCCCCACCCACTTAGGGGGTCTGTGGAGCAGGGGAACGGGAGTCCCCACCCAGGCTGAAAAGTCTGGAACTGTCCAGAGGGGACGCCAAGAGAAAGATGTCGGATTCGGTGAACTTTTGGGTCATTCCAGCTGTTGCCCATTTCTCCTCCTTCCCACGGTGTCATTTTTTCCCCTTCTCCTCCAGCCAATTTTCCCTAGCTCTGTGTTTTTTTGGGGAGGGCTTCCTTCCCTCTCCCCCCCCCATTGCAAACAGAGAAAGAAACACCCCTCCCTATTTCTGTCTTGGCATACTTCAGAGGAGGCATCCTCCTCCAAGCCAAGGCCTGGGCACGCTTACCATAGCTTTGGTCGGCAACTGGCTGGGCAGAGAGGAAACTTGGCTGTTGCTGGTGAGCTGGTTGGAGACCGGAGTGGTGAAGGGAGGGTTTGGCCCCTCCCCGGTTGAGCCACGCCTGTCTCTTCCCCGCCTGTTCAGGAATTTTGGCTAAACACACACTCAGGCTAACACACAAGCAAAAAAACCCCTACATGCCCCACCTTATTTCATTCACTCAGGAATGTGCTTAAAGGGAAGTTGGATTTCTTTTCCCCGTTAACCCACTCAGGCCCACTCTCTTTTTAAATTTTGCAGAAATCACCAACAAACAGGTGAGAAACCAACTGGTTGAGCTTTCCCAGCAGTTAGGAATCAGCTTCAGAGACTTCCCAGCTGGTTCGGCTGAGAAAAAATAAATCTCCCTTTGTGTATAGCAGGCCGATATTCAACTGGTAGTGATCTGACTTCAGCCTAAGCTTTCAATCTATTTCAATAATGAAAAGAAGGACTAGGGGAGACATGATAGCAGTCCTCCAATATCTCAGGGGCTGCCCCAAAGAAGAGGGAGTCAAGCTATTCTCCAAAGCACCTGAAGGCAGGACAAGAAGCAATCGGTGGAAACTAATCAAGGAGAGAAGCAACTTAGAACTAAGGAGAAATTTCCTGACAGTTAGAATAATTAACCAGTGGAACAACTTGCCACCAGAAGTTGTGAATGCTCCAACACTGGAAGTTTTTAAGAATATTTTTTTGAACCCCGAAATAAGGACTTGGCCTTATTTTTGGGGAGGTCTTATTATTTTGGGGCATGTGGAGCAAGATGGGGGCTCCTCTTGCCATCTTACCTGATTTCCAACTCTGTGTTTAAATATTTTCGGGGAGGGCTTATTTTCCGGGGGGGGGGGGTTTATTTTAGCACATGCGCTCAAAAGCCCGATTGGCCTTATTATCAAGGGATGTCTTATTTTCGGGGAAACAGGGTATTATCCAGGTGAAACGCAAAAGAAACTCAGCAGTCTGGATGCTTGGAAGTCCCGTTCCCCCCCTCCCCCGATTTTGAATTTCTCCCAAAATCTGGGAGCCAAATCTTAAGATACATGGAGGAAAAAAAATAATCACCTTGTTGTCTGGTTTTAATCCCCCCCACTTTTTAGAACCGCATCTGCCACTTTCCAAATGTGGGCAAAGGGTTTTGCGATGCTTCCGAGCAAGCAGAAAAACGTGAAGGAAAATAAAAATAACATTGCCCACAACAGAAACGGGAGTTCTGTTTGCAAAGGAAGGATGCAAAAAATGTGGATTTTTTTTTTACAGAGTTGGGCCGAAGCCGACGCAAGTATTTTCAGAATTCGGTTTTTGGATTGAACTGGAAATCAAACCCAACTGTCTTACGATCAAATTTCTTCCCCAATTCCTAATTTATACAGTGCTGAAAAAATAACAGGAAACCAGTTTTCTGCAGCGCTTTAATTTTCCTTTGTGCAAAGGGGCCGCAGAGGGGTGAGTCATCCCCCTACTCCTCTGAGTAAACGCAGAGAAGAAGAACAGAAAAAAAAAAAAGAGTTGGAGACAGACATTTTTTCCCCGTTGTCTTGTGCCAAGAGACAGGCGCTAACTTTGCCACATGCCAGCTATCACCGCTTCTCCTCTTCTAGAATACACCTGGAGGCTTTCTCCGTAACTATGAGGACTAGAGCCTTGGCGTTTCTAAAAAGAGACCCCTGTACCCAGGGATTAATTCTGTGTGTTTTCCACTCTGCTTTCATCAGGACTGGATATGAGTGTAACTAATGTGCAGTTGGGATTTTATGAATTAAAGTCAGTATTTTCTGCTGCCCCTATTTGCAGGAGAGAAAGAAAGAGAGAGAAAGAGAGAAAGAAAGAATGAAAGAAAGAAAGAGAACAAAAGAGAAAAATAAAGAAATAAAAATAAAAGCTATTGCTGAGCACATTGTAAGCCGCCCTGAGTCTTCGGAGAAGGGCGGCATATAAATCAAATTAAAAAAGAAAAAAGAGAAAGAGAAAGAAAGAAAGAAAAACAAAAGAAAGAGAAAGAGAGAGAAAAAGAGAAAGAAAGAAAAAGAAAGGACATAAATTATAGATATTTTATATTTGCGTACTGCCCTCTAGTGGTTCAACCTGGTATGGCCCATTTAGGAAAGGCGCATTACATTTTTTAACACCGGTTTTGCAGTGTACAGATAAAAAAAAAATGAAATGTGTGAATTTGCCCCATTTTATGACCTCGCTGGCCGCAGTTGTTCAATGAATCACTGCAGTTGCTAAGTCAGGAACACAGTGGTTGTGAACCTGGCTTCCCACTGGACTCGGCTTGTCAGAAGGTCACAAAAGGGGATCGCTGCGACCGTCGTAAATGTGAGTCCCTGGCCAGGCGTCTGAATTTTGATCACGTGATCCCGGGAATGCTGCAACAGTTGTGTGAAAAATGGTCCTAAGTCACTTTTTTGGGGGCTGTTGTAACTTTGAACCGTCATTAAATGAACTGTTGTAAGTCGAGGACTACCTACCTGTACAGTATTTTGAAAAGATTTCCTGCTGGAAAACATGTCTGACTCTCCTTTAGCGTCAACCCAACCAGCGGAGGAGTTTACATCGTGTGAGAGAGTGTCAAATAAATCTATACAGTTACCTTGAGGTAAGTTAGATAAAGGTAAGATTTACAAATAGGTAATAAATAAATCAAATAAAATCCAGTCCGGCTAGACGTCTTAAAGGCCTGATCGTCTGTTCATACCCTATCCTGCCAGGTAGAATGCTACCTGCTGTGTTGCCCTGCTCCTTCCCCAAACACAGAGGACTAGCAGCTTTATTTTTAAAACCCAAATTGTTTCGGAGTCGGGGTTCAGATGTCTCGATTCCTTTTCAACCAAGGCTAACTTTCCCAGTCCTGCAAATACGTGACTCCGTGTGACCAACACAGCTCTCTGCTCCTATGTGCGCGGACAAACCAGGAATCTGCTTTTAATTCTCGATTTTATTCTAATTTTAACAAGGAAAACAAAAAGAGTAAAGGATGTTGTACACATCCTTCCCCGATTTTGGAATGCTTTGGATGACAAGGTTTGAAATTGCCCAGGTGCCCTCATGGTCTTTGGTGGGGCCCGGTGGTGGGCGGGGATGCCACCTGCGCATGGCAGGTCAATGCCAGACTTCCAATGAGGTTCAAGAACTCGGAAAAGTCCAGCTTCTCATTGTTGTCCCTGTCCAGGGCTTTCATCATACGGTCGACAACGCCTGGATCTTTCTGGTTCTGCAAAGGATCAAAAAAAAAAAAAAAAAAAAAAGATCATAGGAGACCAGTTTTTTGGATGAAAAAACTGAATTCAAAATGAATTTCTTGAGGGATAATTGGTCAAAAACCTCGTAAGACCATGCCTGGAATCCTGTGTCCGATATTGGTCACCACGTTACAAAAAAGAGGTTGAGACTAAAACATAAGAAGAATGGTGGCAGGAATTGGATATGGCCAGTCTAGTGAAAAGAAGGACGAGGTGGGACATAAGAGCAGTCTTCCAGTATTTGAGGGGCTGCCCCAAAGAAGAGGGGGGTCAATTTATTCTCCAAAGTATCTGAAGGCAAGACAGGAAATAATGGACGGATGCTAACCAAGGCGAGAAGCAACCTAGAACTAAGGAGAAACTTCGTAACAGTGAAAACAATTAACCTGTGGAACTGCTTGCCAGCAGAAGTTGTGGGTGACCCAACATTGCAAGTTTTTAAGAAGAGATTGGACAACCATTTGTCAAACGGTATAAGGTTTCCAGCCTGGCACTTGGACTAGAAGACCTCTTTTATTCTGTTATCTCAGCATTTTTCACGGGACACATCCTGGTAAGAACTCTGACTGGAAACAGCACTCCAAATAGCTCTTTTTTGTTTGTTGGTTTGTTTGCTTTGAAATTGTTGATTGAACCCTCCTTTGCCTTGTTCCCATAACAATGAAAACATCGAACTAGGCCTCGGTGCCTATCCTGGGGTTGCAATTCTACAACCCCACCACCAGGGGGAGCCCATACCCCACGAAGCAGGATTCCTAAACTGAATCCTTGGGAAAGAAAAGGTTTCCCAAGTATATTGAAGAGAGACATAAACTGAAAATCATACCTTTGTGAAAGAGCCCAGCTCTATGTTCATGAATGTTTTGAATTCTTTCCTGGAGAGTGTGTTGCCGTCTCCATCTCTCCCAGCATAGCTCTGGAAGACGGCCAGCAGTGACTCGATGCAACGCTCGGTTTCGGTGGGACCCACAGGGTACTTAGACGACTGCAGAAGTGAAAAAGTTGCATTTTAAAAAATGTGCCTCTTTCGCTTCGGGATATCGCAACGATGCACGCGTCAATCAAAGAAGCATCTTGTTTCCAACGGGAGCCCGAAGGGAGAGGAGAGGCGAGGGCTTGGCCCGAATGAAATCGACTAATGAACCGGTGGAATAATTTGCCTCCAGAAGTTCTGGATGCTCCAACTAACTATCGAAGACATGAATTGCCAGCAAATCATTAATTTCGCTAATTGTCAGCGGTGCATTTTGCAAATTTAAATAATAGACGGGGAATAAGTGCTACGTTTAACGTACCTTTTTCTGCTTTTCAACAAAATAACATCTGCAAAATCTCCCACCACCCCTTCGGAAACAACTTTCTAATTTTTATGGAGATGCTATGAATTATTTGGGGAGTGGCTCACTCCTGTGAGTAAAACAGCTTGTTCGCTCGCTCTGGGGGGGGGGGGGACTCCAGTTACCATTGTCCCCCATCTGGCTGAGAATAAGGGATAACCAACTAACCTTTAAGAAGAAGAGAGGGAGTGAAACACTAGGGCAGTGATGGCTAACCTTATCCGGACCGAGTGCCCAAAACGCACATGCCCATGTGAAAATGCACGTGCACCCGAACCCACAAAATGCAGTGTGTGCCCCCCCGCAAATGCCCCACTTCCACATATACATGTATGCCCCCTCATGCCCTGTCCCTAGCCCCCAAGCATGCATGGCAGAGATCCGGAGACGAGTTGGCTGCTGGGAGCTGAACTGGGGCGACGGCTCACATGCCATTAGAGAGTGCGCTGTGTCTTCGGAGAAAAGCGGCATACAAATTGAACAAATAAATAAATAAGAGAGATTTATTATCGACAGAAACCAGGCATCCTGGCTCTGTGGTTTTTTTGGGTGGGGGTGGGGGGGTTTCCTGCCCTCCCCCCCCCTGGGTTGCAAACAGAAACCCCTCTGTCTTGGCATACTTCAAAGGCATCCTCCTCCAAGCCAAGGCCCAGGTGCACTTACCATAGCTGTGCTTGGCAACTTGCCGGGCAGAGAGGAAAGTTGGCTGTTGCTGGTGAGCTGGTTGGAGACCAGAGTGGTGAAGGGAGGGTTCAGCCCCTCCCCGGTTGAGCCAACACCTGTATCTTCCCCGACTGTTGAGCAATTTTGGCTAAATGCACACTCAGGCTAACACACACACACACAAAAAAAACCCCACACGCCCCACCTTATTCCACTCACTCAGGAATGTACTTAAAGGGAAGTTGGTTTTTCTCTCCGGTTAACTCACTCACTCACTCATTTCTCTTTCTAAATTTTGCAGAAATCACCAGCCAACAGGCAGGAAAACAACTGGTTGAGCTTTCCCAGCTGCTAGGAATCAGCTATATTTCGGTTTTGAAGACTTCCCAGCTGGTTCGGTTGAGAAAAAATAAATCTCCCTTTGTGTGTAGCAGGCCAATATTCAACTGGTAGCAATCTGACTTCAGCCTAAGCTTTCAATCTATTTCAATAATGAAAAGAAGGACTAGAGGAGACATGATAGCAGTCTTCCAATATCTCAGGGGCTGCCCCAAAGAAGAGGGAGTCAAGCTATTCTCCAAAGCACCTTAGGGCAGGACAAGAAGCAATGGGTGGAAACTAATCAAGGAGAGAAGCAACTTAGAACTAAGGAGAAATTTCCTGACAGTGAGAACAATTAATCAGTGGAACAACTTGCCTCCAGAGGTTGTGAATGCTCCAACACTGGAAGTTTTTAAGAAGAGATTGGGTAACCATTTGTCTGAAATGGTATAGGGCCGTGATGGCGAATTTACGGCATGTGTGCCACAGGTAGCACGCAGAGCCGTATCTGTGGGCACACAAGCGTTGCCCTAGCTCAGCTCCTGTGCACATGCGCGTGGCAACCAGCTGATTTTCAGGCCTTCCGTGCCCACCGGAAGTCGGGAAATGGGCCATTTTTGGCCTCCGGGGGGTGGGGTTAGGGGTGGGAAGGCTGTTTTCGCCTCTGGAGCCTGGGGAGGGCGAAAAATGGGCCTTCTGGGCCCACGGGAAGTCTGGAAACTGGCTGTTTCTGGCCTCTAGAGGGCCTCCTGGTGGGTGAGGGAGGCCGTTTTCACCCTCCCCAGGCTCCAAGAAAGCCTCTGGAGCCTGGGGAGGGCAAAAAACAGGCCCACCGGTAACCTTTTTGCCGTTGTGTGCCAAAAGTCGGGGTGGGGGAGTGTGGGGTGGTGGTTGTCACATGTGCATGTGCGGGAGTGCGGGGGGCATTGAATTTTGGGTGTGGGCATGCGTGCTCACGACCCCCCTACTCTCCCCTCCTACCTTTTTTTTTTTTAAAGGGGTTTCTTTTCAGAAGAATTTTCTGAAGATAAGCTGACTTCCTTCTCCACCCTCTTACAAACTGGAAAAAGTCCAGCGGAGATTTTTTTTTAAAAAAATAAAGAACTGCATGGTTGTGTGCTAATGAAAAGAATTGGGCAAAAATTCAGTAAGTGTTCCTTAGCAACCAAAAGGGAAGGTGTGTGTGTGTTAAACAGAGCCTGTGGCAACATCCAGGGGAACACAATTGCAGTGGTTGTGAAAGACGAAACCTCCCAGTTGCGTTTTTGCGGTTGTGTCTGTCCCAACCTTCCCCTTTGCAAGTTGTGACATGAACATGAACTTTAAAAAAAAAAAAAAAACTCTCATTGGCTCTTGAAACCAGCATTTCCACCGAATATTTAACCCTCTTGAATCCCGGCTGATTTTTCTGCGCTCTGCCCTCCACCTTGTGGCCAACAGAGGAATCGCCCCCACTTTAAAAAAAATAAAAATAAGTAAGGAAATACTGTGTGACGAAAGAAACGGAAGGAAGGGGGAAGAATGGATGCATTCAATCAGAAGGAATTTATTGATATTTAGAAGAAAGATTCCTAAGGACACCGAAGGGTGTGGGGGGGTCTACATCCATCTAGATTTGCTTCTTGATCACTCCAGGCAGAATTTGGGGTTTGCTTTCCTCATTGTGGGACGTGATGGCTCAGTGGCTAAGACGCTGAGCTTGTCGATCAGAAAGGTCGGCAGTTCAGCGGTTCGAATCCCTAGTGCTGAGTAACAGGGTGAGCTCCTGTTACCTGTCCCAGCCTCTGCCAACCTAGCAGTTCGAAAACACGCTAAAAATGCAAGTAGAAAAATAGGGACGACCTTTGTTGGGAAGGTAACAGCGTTCCGTGCGTCTTTGGTGTTGAGTCCTGCCGGCCACATGACCACGGAGACGTCCTTGGACAGCTCTGGCTCTTCGGCTTTGAAACGGAGATGAGCACCGCCCCCTAGAGTCAGGAACGACTAGCACAGATGTGCGAGGGGAACATTTACCTATTACCTTTCCTCATCTTGTAACCTGTGGAGTTTGGAAGGTATTTCAGAATCACTGAAGAGCAAAGGGGCTGATCGAGACCCTGATTAGAGGAAAACCCAGATGATTACAGAGACCCCTTGCCTTTTTCTCACCCTAAGTTTACATTTTCATGGATACATCCCAAAGGGAAGAGATCAGGACCCCATAATACGCTTTGCTGGGTATCGCCTTGGACCAGAAGGATTGATTTAGAGATGATTAGATTAACTGATTAGAAGAAAACTCAACAGGATCAAAGAACATCTGCAGAAAGAAAGGAAGACATGAAAGCAGAGTGGGCTCCAAGCTCGCATCTTCATCCCAACTTCTAGGGTTGCTCCTGCTTCTTCTGGGCCAACAGATATTCATACAGCGGGTTACAAATCATGCACGATTTGCTTTCTAACAGAGAACTGCTCGGCTTCTCCATGATGGTTTGTTGGTCATCGTCCTCCAAAGGTGGCTGAGATTCCTGGGCCCATGAGCCACTTCCGTCATCTTCCTCCACGTTGGGTTCCTCCATTTCAGGTTGAGGAGCTTCTCCTTCACGGTGGACTTGCTGCTGGTTGAGAGCAACAGGTTCTTGAGCTTTGTCTCCCTCTTCAGCCGGAGATAATTCAGACTCACCTTCAGTTTGGGGGGCTGGTGTGGGATGGTATCCCTGGATCAAGCTTTCCTGGCCCTCAGTGATCTGTCGTTTGCTTGGTTGGGAGATAGCTCTCTTGCTTACAGGTGAACCTACCTGTCGTTGGACTTGGTCCGCTCCAGCTTCTTGGGCTTCAATTTGATGGTATTGCAGCCACCTTCTTTGGGGACCTCTCCGTTCTGGTCCAGACAAACTTTGGCTCTCTCTTGTGGCCTGGTGCTGCTTGTGTGGACTCACCAGGCTTCGTTCTGCCTTAGACTCTCCAGGCTTCCTTGATGGTTGAGATTCACCAGACTCTGGTGGCCTTTGGTCTCTCAGCAGATCAAGTTCACGGTCAGCAGTTTGATTGGAAAGAGAGGTGGCTTCACGTGGCTGAGTGCTGTCCCCCATATTATCTTGTGTTACTTCAGTATCCCTGAAATTAGGATCAGAGGACTGCACTGTCCTCTGTTGCTCACCATCCCTTCGGTCAATTTCATATGGGTTGGAAGGCTTCTGACCATCTTCTACTAGGTCAGTTTGTGTGTGGCTCCTCCATCTCTGGTCAACAGACTCACGTGATGGCATTCTCCTTGGTCGTTGATCGTCTTTAGGGCCAACCTCATATGTTGGGGATCTCCTCTGGTTGATCTGTCTTGTACCAGAGTCATGGGATGAAGTTCTTCTTTGGTCTTCACCTTCTCTTGAGCTAGCCTCATAAGTTTGGGTCTGCCTCTGATCAATGTTTTCATCGTCAGAATCGTGTATCAAGGTTCTTTTCTGGTGCTCAGTCTCTCTGTGGTCAACATCACGGAATTGGTAAACATTTCTAATCTCAACATTGCTTCTCGTTTGCCCTTCATCTTCTCTTTGAGCAATATCAATTGCCCAGATTTGTCTCTGGCCATTGCTTAGTCTATCATAACTTTGTCTCCTCCCTTCTCTTTGTAGAGTATGTCTGGACTCATATATCTGTTGTCCACTCCGGTCATATTCTCCTGAACTATCAGATGGAGAAAAACTATCCGATTGTGTTGGTCTGGTGACTGCTTCTCTTGATTGGAGTTGTCCCTTTTCATCAACTCTTGAGTCAACCAGCTGAGGCCTTCTCATCTCCCTTTCTCTGGATTCTGAGTAACATAACTGAGGCCTTCTCCTGTCCCTCTCACTGTCCCAGGTTTCATGTTCATCATACCGTTGCCTCTCCTGGTTGTCTTCTCTCTTGGGTGATTCACGAGGCTGGAGCCTTCTCCTTCTTGCAACATCTCTTCCTAGGGAGTGAACTTCATAATTACGGGGACTTTTCTTATCATCTCTCCTTGGTTCTTCATATCTTTGTGATCGGACATATCTGATATCCCTTTCCATAGGCTCAAGGGACTGGGATCTCCTCCTTCTAACTTCTGTTACTCTGATATTCTCCCGGCTGAACTCCCGGCTTCTCCGCTCTACGTCCTCAGGACGTTGGGATCTTCTGACCTCTTCTCTGCCTTCAGACTCATGAGATCGGGAAGATCTGTCCATGTTCTCAAGCTCAGAAGAATAGGGCCTTCTCCTCCTCTCTTGTTCCCTGTGTTTCAGATCTTCCACTTCTGGTCTTCTGGAAGCTTCACGTGGTCGTGGTCTACTCCACTCATCTTCATCACGTCTCCTTTCAGATCTTCTGACTTCTTCCTCTTCTGCCCGGATTGCTCTACGGATGTCTTCTCTTGATTGAAAGACAGAGCGTCCTTGACTCCTCCTCTCACTCTCTCTGTGGTCAGCTTCTTGGAACTGTGATCTTCTTTCACCTTCTCTGGACAATGGGTGATGCTCCTCATATTCTTCTACTGGGCTACGGTGACGAATACGATCTTGGCGCTCATCAGCCACACGGGGTTCAAAGGCGCGAGACCTCCGCTCACTGTGCATTTCCAGCTCCCTCCTACCATCTGCCCTTTCTCGCCATTCACGAGACGGACGACTTCTTTCAACATCAAAATCTGCACGATCCACTCGGGCTTGAGAACCATATCTGAAGAGTCTTCCCTCAGTCTCTTGGCCCCGGCGTTGCCTCCCATCTTCCCTCCTGGATATGTCTATTGAAGAATAGAGGTCTTCTTCATCCCTGTCCAGGAGACCTCGAGCTTC